AGCCTCGTAACTTGTCGTAACAAAAATAATTAAATAAATATATAAAAAAAACACTGCCACTTGAATTTTCCTTCTTCTTCATCTTTTTAAAGAAAAAAAAAATTTATATAAAAACCTCTTCAAAAGTCTTTTAAATTTTTAAATTTTTTTTTTTAATTTTTAATTTTTTTTTTAATTTAATTCTTATCTCTCTATCAACAACAGCAACATCATATTCATATTCATATTCATATTCATATTTATATTTATCATCTAGTAACCCCAAACCCTAACTTATGCACCTCAACCTCATCACTGGTTCCCTCCTTTTGGCATCCTTGGGCTCTGCAGCTCCAGTCCCAAAGCCTTCAGGACCACCCGACAATGACCACCATCCTCCCCCTCACTTCCCAGTCCCTTCAGTCGAACTTGCAGCAAAAGAAGTCCGCACTTTACTTTTCCGTGAATCCCTTGCTAATCTAGCAACTATTGTTCAAGATGGCCCTAACGCAGGTACCCCAGAATCTTTTATGGAATACTTTGCAGATTGTACTCATGATGGTTCTCTTACTCTCTTGGCTCTCAATATCTCCTCTTCCTACAGAAATATTGCTAAAGGTTCCCCTGCTTCCCTTTCTGTCCGTGTAGGAGATCATGCCCTCCGTGAACACCCTGACCCTCGCTACCCAGGTGGTATCCCTCCCTCTCCAGCTGGTTCCCCCCGCGTTTCTCTTCGTGGTAAATTCGTAGATGTTGATCCTGAAGACAAGGAAACTATCGATGAACTTTCAAAATGCTTTGTCGATAGACACCCTGATGCCCGCTTTTGGCTCCCTGGAAACCCTGTCCATTCCTCTCACTTTGTTTCTTTCGAGGTCGATGGAGTTTATTTCATCGGTGGATTTGGTGATAGAGCTTACATTGGTGAAATCCCTCTCGATCTCTACAAAGAAGCTAAGCCTTTGCGTCCTCTTCCTCCTCCACCACCCCCTCATGATGGTCCTGAAGAACCTCCTCATGGACCTCCTCATGGACCTCCTCATGGACCTCCTCCTCACAAGGGCAAGAAACCTCATGGACCTCCTCCTCCACCTCCTCATGATGGCCCCGATGGCCCTGAAGAACCTCCTCGTGGACCTCCTCCTCGCGGACCTCCTCCTCGCGGACCTCCTCCTCGCGGACCTCCTCCTCGCGGACCTCCTCCTCCACCTCCTCATGATGGCCCCGATGGTCCTCCTCCTCCACCTCCTTATGATCGTGATGGTCCTGAAGAACCTCCTTATGGACCTCCTCCCCCACCTCCTCCTCACAAGGGCAAGAAACCTCACGGACCTCCTCCTCCACCTCCTTATGATCGTGATGGTCCTGAAGAACCTCCTTATGGACCTCCTCCCCCACCTCCTCCTCACAAGGGCAAGAAACCTCACGGACCTCCTCCTCCAGCTGAATATGAAGAAGACGAAACTGAAGAAGAATTCATCTCTGCTCCTTCCTCTTCCTCCTCCTCATCATCTTTCTTCAACTCACTTTGGAACAAAGCCAACACCATTCTCTTTGGCGACAATGTCGATGATGAAACTCCCTTCCTCATTGCCCAAGACGATGAAACCCAAGCTGTTCTTTCCTCCTATCGTTCAAAGACCAATAAAAATCACCACCCTGAAATTGATATGACCAAGGATTACACCCGTGAAGAAATCATGGCTGCTCACCATGGCAAAAAGGGTCGTTTCCATGGCAGAAAGGGCCGCCACCATGGTAGAAAGGGTCGCTACCATGGAGCCTCTTCCGATGAATACTCCTCCGATGAAGAAGAAAAAGAAGAAGACATTTCGTCTATTTACAAGGCTCACCATAAGTCAGCCAAGCCTTTTACAAAGGAACAAATTTACGATATGCACCACTCGGACAAGTACTCTGAGGAAAAATTGGCCAAGATTCACCACAAGAAGCTTTCTAAGGAAGAGCTTTACAAAATTCACCATGCTGAAAACTAATAGTTTAGTGGTTTGAATTTTGAAGCCTTTTTTTTTTTTTCTTTTTTTTCATTCCCCACAAAAAAAAATTCCTTTTTTTTTTATTAATATTATTATTAACACCCCATTGTTTTATACCTAATTTTTTTTTTTGTATTCTTGAATCTTTATATTAGATTCTTGATAAAAAAAAAACTAAATTCTAAAAAAAAAAAAAAAGAATGAAAAAAAATTTTTTTTTTTATTATTAAAAAAATACTCTTGTTTTGTTTTGTTTCCTGTTTAAGTAATGACCTCTAATGACCCCACAAAATATTAATCATCATCATTATTATTATTATTATCATAATCATGATTTTTCCTTTTTTTTTTTATAATTTTATAAATGATTTGATGAATAAAAAAAATATAAAATAATTTTTATCAAACTTTTACTTTTTTATTTTTTTAAAACTCATTATGCTCGCATTTATCGTTCACACGATATTTTTTATGTACTTTTTTTTTTTTGTTTCCACTTTTGTAAAATAACTTATCAGATAAACTGAGAAAAGTTATTGGGGAGGGGAGGGAAAAAGAAAATAAAAATTTACCAATTATTCTAATTAACATGACAGATGCTTAAAAGTCATTTTAATTTTTTAGAAAAATTTATATAAAGATTTTTTTCTTTTTTAAAACTCGTTAAACCGAAAAAAAAAAATGAAAATAAAATAAAATAAAAAATATTTATAACGGCCAAGAAAAATATAAACCAATTGAGTATTTGGAATAAAAAAGCAATTTCTTTGGCATATATATATATGTAAATGTAAATACTAGAATCAGTTGATGCCGTTTCATATTTTGTATCGTGTATCCCGTTTAACTATTATTGTCTTGAATACGAAACTTCGCCTAGAAGTATATATTTATATGCTTTTCAAAATAATAATAAAAAAAAATAATTTTTTTTTTCTACATTATTTAATTAATTGTTTTTATATTAAAACCACATATATATTTATATATTTATTTTTTTAGAATTAAAATAAAATAAAATAAAATAAAATGCCGAGACGGTTATATCATAGACATGGAAGATAGATTTCTTGGTTTTGGTTTTAATATACAAGGCATAAACTTATTTTAGTACTTATTACTTATTACTTAATGTCTTTATAACATCATCATCTTAACTAAGGCTTATCTATCTATTTATTTTCATTTTCATTTTCATTTTTATTTTAAAGTAATAAATTTCTAAAAAAATAACAAAACCAAAATATGTCATTTATTATTATTAATATAAAAATCATCTGTCCTTAGTTATATCCTTACCATTAAATTTTTATTTTTATTTTTATTTCTTTTAAAAATAAGTTATCCAGAAGAAACAGTTGGAGATCCAGTTTATGCGAGGTGCTCTATCCAGAGTTTACCTATGATGAATTTTGTAAAAAAAATTTTTTAAATAAATAAAAAAATAAATTCAAAGTTTCTTGAATACCCTCTTTTTTTCTGTAATCTTTATGATCATGAAAAAAAAAAAAAAAATATTGCATTCAAAAACTTGATCAAAATTTATAAAAAAAAAAAAAAAATTTCATTCAGCCTCATGTTGACCTCCCTCGAAATCTAAAGTTAAACTATCATCCCCATCTTCCTCATTGCTATATAATCAGTTATGAGTTTGATGCAAATACCATATCTCTCTTTCTTTATTTTTTCATTTTTTTTTCATTATTCTCCATAAGATAAAGTATTTTTATTCTTCTTCTTCTTCATGCTACAAATTCATGGGCTTAACGGGTAGATGTCATCATCGCCTTACAGGAACATGAAAAAATAAAAATAAAAATAAAAATAAAAATAAGAAGCATGAAATGAAATGACAATACAAAAGACAAAGTTCAAGAGTATTGTTAAGTGCATTGGAAAACAAAAAAAACAAAAAAATAAAATAAAATAAACTCTAGTGAGACATTTTTTTTTTGTTTCTTTAGTTTTTCAATTCTCTCTTTTCATCCTCTCTATGTTTCCTTTTGATTTTTTTAAAAAAAAAAAATTACAATTTGTCTTTTGTAAATTCTCGTTCAGGAAAACTCAGAGTGGAGTCTTTTTTTTTTTTTTTTTTTATTCTTATGTCTTGTAATTTACAATAAGACGTTGTTCCCGTAATCTGGTGAGAGAATACTAAAAGTAAATATATATATATATATTTATATAAAGGACCCTTAAATCCAATTTTAAAATTGCGCCTTTTGTATCAAGTTTAAAAAAAAAAAATTAAATAATCACGAGGACTTAAATAAAAGGAAACTAGTCAAATGAAAATTTAATCAACCATTCTTTATAAAAAAAAAAAAATTAAATTCAAGGTAAGTAAGTATCAATCTATTTTCATTTTTTTTGTACACTTCTACGTGAGACTGATTTTTATTTTTTTTTTTTTTTTTTTATTTTTAGAATGAAAATAAATAAAATAAGCATTTATTGCATAATAAAAAAAATCATTCTCTCGGTATGCGACGTTTATTATCAACACTTAAGCATAACTCTCATCTTCATCTCTTTTTTTTTTTCTATATAATCCCTGAACTTGCATTATGTGTCCCACTTTCTATAAGCTTGTTTCCAATGTTGATGTAAAATATCCTCACAAACTTCATTACTTCTCCCTCTCCCTCTCCCTTTCACTCTTATATCTTTGCATCATTCTCTCTTCTTATTTCTTCTATATCTACATAAACTCTTCCGTTCAACTCATAAACCTTTTTTTTTTTTTTTCAAAAATCAACTAACTTCTTTTCTTCCATAAATCTGTCCTGAACTCTCTAGACGTTTGTCTTTACAACTTGTTTGCATAGTATACCAACGGGGGGAGGGGGAAAAAAAAATGCAAGCATAAAGTAAGAAGAAATAAAAATAAAACGATCTTATGTAGACTTAAGTTAGTATTGTTATAATTCACCGTTTGATTTATGTAGCGTCTACATACATATCCCGATGAATATATCGATTCTTGTAAATTTTTATTTTTTCTTCAAGTTTGAGTTGTGGCCATTTATTTTTTTATTTTTTTTTTTTACTTCAATGTAATAAGAAAAGTAATAATATAACTGTTTCCTTGAATAGATTAGCAAAAAATAAAATAAAATAAAAATAAAAAAATCTTAGAACCTTTTTTTATTTGCCCTTGCGCTTGCCCAATTTCTCTCAAATTACAGCTTTTTTGTAAGATATATATATATATATAGAAAAAAAAATAAACAACTTTACTATGGACCTTTTTTGAACGTGCGCGCCCTTTAATCTATTTCCTTTTTTTACGCCTCTAGTTTACTTTTTCATTTTAAAATATATATAAAAAAAAAGGCTCATCATTGTTGATGATGATTTGTGAAAAAAAAAAAATTAATAATAAAATAAAATAAAAAAATTAATACTCAATCAATATTCTTTTTCTTGCCGTACAGTTTATGCAAATATACACCAGCATCAATCAATTTTTTTTTTGTAGAACAATGTATATTCAAAAAAATAAAAAATAAAAATAGAAATGCATCTCATCTGTCTATTTTGTCTGCATTAAGGGGAAGAAAATAAACAAATACAAAAGAAATGGGCATCAAACTGGAATTCTCTGATCAATGTCAAAGAGAAGAGAAGAAAAAAAAAAAAAAAAAAAGAAAAAGATTGGGCAGGAACAAAGCCGACTAATTTGGAAATACCTTGCTTTTTTATTTTTATTTTTTATATTTATTTATTTTTTTCTATACTTTTAATCTACTTCCTTCTCTCTCTTATTTTTTTTTTATTCTCCTTCATTCACTTTTCTCTCTCTTATTACTCTTCTTCTTCCTCTTTCCTTTGGACACTTGTATAAATACATGCATTATTCTTCTGCTTTTCCCCCATTAATTCATTCTACTCTTTTTCCTTTTTCTTCATCTTTTCTTATTTTCTCGTTATCACATTTATTCTTTACAATCGCTCTAAAAAAAACAAAAAAAAGGTGAATAATAATTATAATTAAAAAAGTTTCCGATATTTTTATTTTAATTTCGCCTCAATTTGATTTTGTCTTTTTTTTTTTTTTTTTCTTTTTCCTGGTATTCAAATATAAAAAGAAAAATAAAAGTTTTAATTTTTTTTTGTAATTTTAATAATAATCACAACATTTACCTCGCCACTTTTTAATTTCAAATGACTATGCCGCTGATGAACAATTTGGACATGGATCCAAATAATGGACTCTTTACTCAACAACAACATCATCACTCTTCCAATAGTTCATTATCTACCCCTGCACCTCCAGTATTCAATACCTCCTCAAACGACTTGCTTCAAGTCCCACCCTCTTCCACTTCTCAAGTTACACCAAAAACTGACAAGAGTATGGATTCGTATCCAACTGGTGTTGCTGCTGTTGCAGCAGCTGCTGCTGCAGCTGCGGCCGCCGCTACAGTAACGTCAAATCCTATGGGATCTTCTAGCAGCGCCAACAATCTTGCCGATTATACTTATGCCCAACAACAGCATCACCAATCTCATCAGCTGGAAAGTCCTGCTTCCAATAGCTCGATTCCATTGCCCAGCTCGTTTAACAATGCAAGCTCAGGAAGTACCAACATTTCTCAATCTTCATATGAGGATTACCAAAAAACACAAGAAATAGGCATTACTCAAATGACTCAAGACAAGCAGCAGCAACAACAACAACGAGGCCCAATAACAGCTTCATATTCTCTTGAAAATATTAATCCAGCATTGGCGTCCCAAGGGTTTCATCAAAATGGAACAAGTAACGGGTATCCTCCACAGCAACAACAACAGGGTATGTCGGCCGCTCAGCACATGTACACACACCCAGTTAATACGATTCGACCATCAACGGTTGACCAATCCACCAACCTTTTTGCATCAAACGACCCTTCACTTGTAGCGATGCAGTCGTCTCTGGCTAAAAATGATTATACTCAGTCACCTCAACAAGTGCGCTACATTACAGACGATGGTCGTCAAAATGGCGGGTCCATGACTGCAGCCACCGCCACTACCAATACAACAACAACAACAACAACAACGTCATCAAATGGTAACTCTGAAATTTATGTAACACCAACCCCTCAACTGTCTTCATCTTCGCATAGTAGCCGCCCAGGAACTGCATTGGGGGCCTCTGAAGTTGCTGTAGGAACTTTGCCTTACTATCAGGACACTACATTGCAAACTGCAACGACGCTACAAGCGCCATACCAAAATATGATTGCACCCCAATATCACCACAGAACTATGGAGGTGGCACAAGGCACGGTTCCTGGAGATCATACTCTAAATGGGACTTCAACATCTGCAGCTGCAGCTGCCGCAGCAGCGGCCATGGCAGCTAGTCAAGAGCTAGTTCAGCTTAGCCAGCAAACAACGCATTCAGATCTGGGACTTAATGCAGTAGCTAATAACGCATGGATTGGGACAAGTTATTATATGCCAGAGATGCAAAATGGAGCTTCTGCCAATGGTGGGTTGAACTTGGGGTTGGGGGCTGATCAACAGTATCATCATCAACAGTATCACCAGCACCACCATCAACAACATGAGCAGCAGCACCAACAACACCAGCAAGTTTTGGTACCTCAAGAAGCTCAACAACAACAACAACAACAACAGTCTCAACAACAGTCTCAACAACAATATCACCAAATGCTGAGCTCTCAACACCAGTACATTCCAGCATATCCCAATGCTGCCATTGCACCTGAGTACCCTGTGGGACAGCCTCTTCAATTGGTGAGTGCAACAAATGGTCAAGTTGTAGGTGCTCCCGGAGCTGTTGTGTTTGCACATAATGAAGCTGCTTCGGCTTCTGCGGCTGCTGCTGCTGCTGCGGCGGCGGCGGCAGCAGCGGCGGCGGCTGCACACATTATGCCTATCCAGATGGGGTCATGGCAGCCTGAGAATCGGTTGCCTGTCAAGTCGCTTGTTTTGCATGAGGGGGTGAATTTACATGAGTACCTTGCAGAGTTTTTGATGTGTCCTGAGAAGGCGACTGAGTTGACGATGTTGTCGATTGTGTCGCAAAAGAATAAGCGGCTCAAGAGTAGCAAGTACTCTGAGGGTGGGCGGGCCGGAGCAGGACTCAAGAGTAGTAAGTTGAGGGAAAAGTACATGGCTAATAACTTGAATCGGTTATTTATTCCTGCTGGGATTGGGGGACAGGGTGATGCTTGTCGACAGAGACACAGTGAAAACAATCCTGTCTTTATTTCGCGAGAACAAATGGTGAATGAGATTATGAGTGCGATTGAGTTTGCATTATGTTCTAGTAAGGACTTGGAGCAGCACCGAGTGGGGAAGGGTGATGTTGGTATCAATTATGCTCAGTTGGAGGTTGGGCGGGGTATTCCGATGCAGCTATCGCTGCCTGAGGGGGTATCAGTGGTGATGAATGCTTCTCAAAAGGATGAGATTGAGAATATGTTTATTTCATGGAAGCCACTGCGAACCAAGCCTGAACATTTTTTCCGGATGGAGGATCGTCATGGACAGCACTTTACGCTTGAGGAGCTGAAGGAGGTTGTTGATATATTATTGTCACGTCCCCCTCGACGAAGTAAGTATTATTTTATTATTTTGAATATTTTTTTTTTTTTTTGAAAAAAAAGACTAACAATGTTTTATAGTTAATCGGTATTGTGCAAGACAATTGTTGACAGATGTCAGCTATGGACAAGGGCGTGGTGTTACTGAGTTTAATAACACTGGACAGGAACGATCGCCGCACATGATGAGTTATATGACTCGGCGGGAATACAATACGGTTCCAGTTGGTGGGCAGCCCAAGGATGGGATGATGAATCTTCCAGATGAGATGAAGAATGTTTTGAGTCATGTGGATTCCAGTTTGATTCCATATCAGAATACTAAGAAGAGTAATATATATGATCCAATTTGGTGTCGCAAGACTGGTGTGCATAAGGAGGGATGGTGCAACCATTGCAAGGAGGGTGGTTGGTACTTGATGAAGAATTCTGGGTTTTTGTATCATAAGAATCATGAGCATGGGATTTTCCCTCAAGGGTTTGTGTTTGAAGATCCGTTGGTGATTCGGCGCAAGCTTATTCGGGAGGCTCGATGGGAAGGTCAGTGTGGGATTTGTTACCATTGGATTGACTTGGATCATACTGAGCGTAAGACTTGGGGGACATGGTACCGACACTATAAGCTTTGTGCAGCAGAGTATGAGGAGATTAAGAAGCTTGTTAAGGCTACTGGATTACCTTTGGATTTGGTTGAAGTTGAGTATATTCCCAGTGCATGATGATTTGATTGAGGAAAAAGATGAAGTGATTGTGGGAGGTTTTATTTTTTTTTTTTTTTTTTTTTAATAGTAGTAGTAGGTAGTATATAAAATAGTAAAAAAAAAAAATACGATAATATATATATATTTATTACATTATTATTACATTATTATTACATTATTATTACATTATTATTACATTATTATTACATTATAGATAGGAATTGTATATATATTACAGTATTTGTTACATTGTTGATTATTTATGAAGATGAATGAATGAATGAATATTAAGAAGGGGGGAAGGAATTTTAATTTTAATTTTGAATTTGAATTTTGAATTTTGAATTTTGAATTTGGTTTGTTTTGGAAGGAGGACTTATTGTTTTAAACACGGTGGATAGTTGCAAAAAATAAAAAATAAAAAAAATAAAAAATAAAAATAAGGGAGAAATTTCCATTTTGGAAATAGTCTAACGATTGTTTTTTTTTTATGGAATTTGATGGAAAGTTTTGTTTTGTTTTTATTTTATTTTAATAATTATTTAAAGATATATATCTGTTAAAAAAATAGTTTGGTATTTCTTATTTTCAAGGAACTGTTAAGACATTGAAGGAAGAAATGGATTATGATGATGATAATTCAAAGAACTATAAAAGTGGGTTATTTAGGGATTTTTATTTTATTTTATTTTTATTTTATTTTTATTTTATTTTTATTTTATTTTTTTTATTTTATTTTATTTTATTTTATTTTATTTTATTTTATTTTATTTTATTTTATTTTATTTTATTTTATTTTATTTTATTTTATTTTATTTTATTTTATTTTATTTTATTTTATTTTATTTTATTTTATTTTATTTTATTTTATTTTATTTTATTTTATTTTATTTTTATTTTATTTTATTTTATTTTATTTTATTTTATTTTATTTTATTTTATTTTATTTTATTTTATTTTATTTTATTTTATTTTATTTTATTTTATTTTATTTTATTTTATTTTATTTTATTTTATTTTATTTTATTTTATTTTATTTTATTTTATTTTATTTTATTTTATTTTATTTTATTTTATTTTATTTTATTTTATTTTATTTTATTTTTATTTTTATTTTTATTTTTCAATTCGTTTTTTAGGGTTTCTTTTTATTTTTATTTTTTAATTTTGACACATTTATATAAATATCTGGTAGACTAAAGTTATGAAGCAGACAAAGAAGAGAAGGAGAAAAAAAAATAGAAGATGGAGAAGATGGAGAAGATAATGATAATGAAATAATGATATAATGATATAATAATTTAATGAAATAATGATTTTAAAAAGAGATATAGAGAAAGATAACAAAAATTTGTTTTTTTGTTGATGAATCTTCTTTTTTATTTTTTTAATTTTTTATTTTTATAAGTTTTTCGGTTAATTTTAAAAAAAAAAAAAAAAAAAAAAAAGTTTTGAAAAACCGTTTAATAGACCTAAATGGAATTTTAACATCACACAAAAACAACAATCATCCATCTATCTATCCATCCATCTATCCATCCCTCCCCTCGTAGAGCGGGACCCCCCGAAAAGAAACCCCTGCGTCAGGTTCCTCAAGGACCTTTTTTTTTTTTTTTTTTTTTGAAATTAAAGAAGAAAGTCTTTGTTTAAAGGATTTCTATTATTATTGAATAAATTTCTTCTTCTTCTTCTTCTTCTTCTTCTTTCCCACTCCACTCCACTCCACTCCACCCCCCCCCCTTTTTTTAATAACCTAAAGTAAAATAATGCGTTTTAAAAGATGGTTAAAATAAAAATAAAACTACAAAGCGTAAGATGAAAATTTTGTACCTGGATCCAGTTTTGCCCAAAACAATGTGGAGAATTTATTAAAAAAAAAAATTCTCTATGATATTAAAATGAAGGTTTCTTTTTTTCTTTTTTTTTGATTTTATTTTATTTTGATTTTATTTTGATTATTATTATTTTTATTATTATTTTTATTTTTATTATTATTTTTATTATTATTTTTATTATTATTATATTTATTATATTTATAGAAACAAGAAATGCAAGTCAATGCGAGAACCAGTTCACAAGGGCGGAAGCTTCAATTAACCTTTTTTTTTTTTTTTTTTTTTTTTTTTTTTTTTCAAAAGGGCCATGTGGTTCACGCGCTTGTTAACTTTTGAAGATATTCTGATAATAAAATATATATGTGCATACAAAGTTTCAAGTGATATTTGAAAGTTGGTGATATCTGGTTTTTTTAATTTTTTTCTTTTTTAATTTTTTTCTTTTTTCTTTTTTGACAAAGAGCAGTCACTAAAAAAATAAAATAACAAGTTGTTTCTTCTTTTTATTTTATGAAATAACTACTACCAATACTAAACTGCTGCTACTACTAAACTACTAAACAAATACTACTACTACTACTACTACTACTACTACTATTACTATTACTTTAATACTTTTCAATGGTTTCAAATTTATACTATATTCGAGAATAATGCGCGCATGAGTTCCTTTTTGTATTCTAAAGTCAGCCTTAAAATAAAATAATAATAATAATAATAATAATAATAATAATAATAATAATAATAATAATAATAGCACATCACCTGAAAGTTTAAAGGGAATTGTAAGTGAAGAAGTGCGTTAAAACATACGCGCGTACTTACATACATGATGGAGCCAATGTCTCTGGACTACAGATTGAAAGCAATAGAGGAAAAATAAAAGGAGTTCTTCTTTTTTTTTTCTATTTATTTAATCTTTCAAAAGAATTGAGGGAAAGACTTGATAAAAGTCTGAAGAAAAAATCAATCCAATGGAGGGGATGGGGAGGTTTTTTTTTTTTATTGTTGAATGATTTGAAATCTTTTGTTTGTTTTATATATATAAGAAAAAAAGGTAGAACAACAACAACAACAACTTCTTTCTTTTCTTTCTCTTTTAAACTTCTTTATATACTTTGATCTTTCTTTCTTTCTGTCATTCTTTCTTTATTATTTTTTTTCTTCACGTTACTACTCTGTGTGTTTGTTCTGGCCTCCTGTGTGTCTATCTATCTGTCTTTCTTTCCTTTCTTTCCCTTCTTTCTTTCTTTCTTTCTTTCCTTTCTTTCTTTTCTAAAATAAAGGCTTTTTTTAGGTGATTTTTATATATATATATATTTTTATATTATATAGAGTTGCCGCTTTCCTGAAACCTTTTGCAAAATAAAAAAAAAAATATCCTTTCTCCTTACTTACTTCATACATCATCACTAAAGGACTCTTTGGATTTATTTTTTTTTTCTTTTCTTTTCTTAAAAAAACTTTTTTCCCTCTTTTTTTTTTCTTCTTCTTCTTATTTTCTAATTCTCTTTTTTTTATTCTTCTTCTTCTTCTTCTTTTTCTTTTCTAATTCTTTTTTTTTTCTCTCTTTCTCTTTCTCTAGAAATGTAAAGTGCGAATGGCTCTAATAATAATAAAAAAATAAAATTTTAAACCTTCTGTAATATAAAAAAAACGCACTACTTCGACTTTTATTTTATTTTTATTTTTATTTTTTTCATTTATATCAAAGATCACCACTTTTTTTTTAAAAAAAAAAAACTTCATCATCATAATTATCTTCTTATCTTAATATTATCCTTCTTTAATATTTCAATTAGAAAGAAAAAAAAAAGAATATTAATTTCTTTCTTTTCAATCTTTTTCCCCCTTCCTTCTCCGCAGAGATTCCTACTTCTTTTCACTCCTTTGACATCTCTCGGTGATTTTTTTCTAAAAAAAAAAACCCTTCCATTCCTTTATTCTTCTTTTTCTTCTTTCTTTAATCTTTCAACTTTGATGAGCATCATCTCTCAATTCATCTTCAGAATCCAGCATCTTTACCCGCTCAATGCCAGTTCGATATCTTTCTTTCTATGAAACCGATCCTTTCTTTTTCTTATTACTATTGTTATTAACATTCTATTTCTCCAGCATATCTATTCCATCACATGCCATCTTGTCATTCCAAAATCAGCAATTAGAACCACTACTACCAAAAGAAAAAAAAAAAAAATTCTTTTGATCCAGTCAGCAATTCTTCATTCTTAATCTTCCAACTAGAATCAAACATCATTATCATAGAAAACTATATCCAGCACTTTTTCATAGACTGCTCTTCAAAAACCCGTTATTTGTTGCGTGGACATAATTAAAAAAAAAAAAAAAACGCCTTCCAGACAAAGAAAAACCCACATCACGTTTAAAAAAAAAAATTCTAAAAAAAGGCAAAAAATCCTAAAAAAAAAGTCAAAAAAAAAAATTTTTTTTTTGTTTTATTTCATTGATTTTATTTCATTGATTTTATTTTATTTTATATTATTTATTTCATTGATTTTCATTGATTTTATTTTTTTTTTCTTAATTAACTCTTCTTCTTAATTTCATCAACTCTCTCTTGAGTTCTCTCTTTTGGGAAAATTAACATTCAAACTCTCAACATCACCTATAAAACCCCTTTATTCTATCAACTAAAAAAAAAAAAAAAAACTACATCTTTCCAGCTGTATAATCAACCAATATCAAACTAACATCTCACCCCTTCCCCTTATTTTTATTTTTTTTCCGCCTAATATTCATACTACTACCTGGATCAAAAAAAATAAAAATAAAAACTCCACCTTCTTACATTTATTTTTATCTTCTTTCCCGGCATATAAATATATATATATACATCTATATATATCTCCTTAAAAACATAGGCTTATGAATAGGCCAGGTCCGTTGTCTTCAGATCGGAGCCAACAGCAAGCCAGCATTTTCTCGTCGTCGTCTTCTTCCTCCTTAAGAGAAGGGTCCTCCCAGCCACCAACGCCGTTGACATCTTTGACGCAACATCCCAGATCAAGGTAAGCTTTTCATGTGTGTGTTTATGAGGTGGGGAGAGAAATAAATGCCCAGTATAAATGATGGATGGTGATGGCGATGGCGATGGCGATTATGATAATAATGGATCATAATGGTCTTTTTTTCTTCTTTCGCTTATTTCCTTCTCTTTTTTTTCCTCTTCTCACCCCCACTACTTATAACCCCATTTGGTCCACCGTTTCCCATCAAAAAAAAAAAACTTTTCTGACAGATTATTTTGAATTTCTTTTAATGATATCAGTAACATTAATCTTTTTATTCGACAAGAACCACTTCTTTGCAAAGTAACAATTCCCCGCGAAAAAGGTAATGATGATTTTTTTTTTATTTTTTATTTTTTATTTTTTATTTTTTATTTTTAATTTTTAATTTTTTTAATTTTTTTAATTTTTTTAATTTTTCATCTTTTAAACTCAACTAACTAAAAATTTAGGAGGCCTTTACGAGCGCAAAATCATTAACCCCCCGCCAATCGTCCAAATAGTTATAGAGGACAGTGACGCAAGCCAGCTGTGGTTGACGGAACGGTATTTCTTCATGATTAGCACTTTATATGAGCCTACTGCCGACGCAGTTGTGCAAGCTGCTGAAAACCCCATTGTGGGGTCTAATGTATCGTCATTACAAAAAGTTCAAGAAAACAATAGAGGTTGGTTTGAAAAAAAAAAATTTTTTTCCAGAATTATTATTATTATTGCTAACAAGTTAGATATTGGACTCTTTGTTTTTGGAGACATTTCTGTGAAACTCGAGGGTCAGTTCCGACTGAGATTCGACTTGTTTGAATACATGTGAGTATTTCTAAAAGAGGGAAAAAAAAGTTTTTTTTCAAGAACATGTTTTTTTAACAATTTTTTTTTTTTTTTTTTTTTTTTGAAAAAAGTGGAATGCAAGTTGTTTATTTGAAATCAATTGTATCAGATATCTTTACAGTCTACTCGCCTAAACAATACCCTGGGTCGTTGCCATCGACCGCTCTATCACGGCTTATTTCAGATCAAGGCATTCGTCTGCGGCTTCGCAAAGAACCAAATAGAAATAAAAGGTAAGCTTTGAGAAGAATTTTGAGAATTTTAAAAGTTTCTACAATGAGAGAGAATATTTATGTCTTGAGAGTTGAGGCAACAATGGGCTGACTCTTTGAAGTGGCACTTTGAGGCAAATTCAACTTTTTTTTTTTTTTGAGGGCATAACATGGAAAACTAAAGAAAAAAAATAGTTGAAATTTTCCATAAGATGGAAATAAGAAACTAAAAAAGAAAAACCTATTTTATTTCAAGGTTTTGAAACTTTTTTTTTTCAAAGTTTTTAAGGGTTTTATTTTATTTTATTTTTTTTCAAAAAAAAGACTAATTTTTTTTTTTTTTTCAGAAAATCTCAAGAGGCTGCTGGTCCGTCTGGTGCTCAATCCCAACACCTAACTCAGCCTCCTCCTCAAGACCCGAATCTAGTCTACCAACAACAACCATTACCACATCAAGGCCCTTCTCATCAAATCCGACAAGGTCCCGGCCCAGCAAGTGGACCTACGGGGCCTTCAGCACACAGCGGCTACTATGGCGGTCCAACTCAACAATCACCTCTACCTCCTCTACAGCAACAGCAACAGCAGCAACAGCAACAACAGCAAGAGTACCGGTTTCCACCACCACCGTCGTCGGTATACGGTGCCCAACAACAACCACCACCTCCACAGTACTACACCCATCCATCATCAACTTACTATTCCCAGCAGCAACAACAACAACTACTACAACAGCAGCAGCAACAACAGGCAACACCACAACAGCAGCGCACGCCACCAGCACGGCACTCGCGGCACTTGTCGCAAACGTCAGCCGCATACCATGCTGGGCTTTTAGGCGAAGATACACCACCAGTCGAGTATCCTGCGGTGCGGCGGCGAGGCAGTGTTGGTGTTCACAGTAGTGGATTGAGCCACGATTTTTCTGCTTCCTCGTTCTTTTCAAGTCCAATGGGGCCAAGCCCTGCTGCTGCTGCTGCTGCTGCTGCTCAGGGCAGAAGTCAAGCGTATGGTGCACCAAGTGCAGGACCATACTCGGGTCCGGGATACGGGTCAGGGGTATCGCAACAGCAACAATACTCGGCACATGGGAACTTAGGGACTCCAGGATCCGGCGCTGGCGCTGGCGCTGGTGCAAATGCAAGTGCAAATGCAGGCACTGGAAGCAGTGTTCTGAGGACCCCAGGATCAGGGCCAGGGTTATCATCCTCAAATGTTACGCCAAGCCAGCAGCTTCCGCCGTTGGGACCTCGGTGGACAACCTCGTCATCGTCATCAGGCACACGGCCGCTCAGCACGTCGTTGTCGCCACCGCCTGGTGCGAGCGATTCTACACTGGGATCAGGGTTTGGTGCTGGCAGCAGCAGTGCTGGGTTTCTTCAGCGGCGACAAACAGTGAGCAGTGGTGGTGGTGGTGGTGGTGGTGCAAGTTTAGGGAGTGGTGGACATGTTCGTCGGCGAAGTACCATTCTGGGGCCGTCACGAGCACACCCTTACGACTTTAGTGGGGGATCGGGTGCACAGCAAATGGCAGCAGCATCGCCTGCTGGCGTGCCAACTGCAGGGGCAGGAGCGCTTACTCCACGACGGTCAGCGCGGCGTGGGTCACTGATTGGAACAGGTGGTACCAGCAGTACTGGCTCTCTTCTGCCGCCGCATCTTGTGTACGGCAGCAGCGAACGTGCTGGTGGTGCAGGTTCCACAGGCGAGAGTTCTAGTGGAGGGTCATTGTTTGCAGGTTTAACACGGCACTCCAGTTTAAGCGGAGCTGCCGGGCGGGCCACAGGGTCACCTGTACGCCGGCCACGGCCGCGTCCGTTGAGCATGTTGGATTCACCTGGGCTACGTTCTGGTGGTTCAGGGCTAGGGTCTTTTGACTCTGAGGGCAGCTCTGGCAACACTTCAGGGCACCTGCATCACCCCCCACTGGGACACGGGATCCGATTACCACCGTTGCAACTGTCAAGCAACACAACAACTACAACTACAACAGCATCTTCCTCTGGTACATCAACTCCAGGAGGTGTAGGGAGCACTGGTGGTGGAAACCCTGGCGGCAACCCCGGTGGAAACCCCGGTGGCAGCGGTGGAAGTGGTGGAAGTGGAGAGAGCGGTGGCAGCGGTGGGAGCGGAAGCAATGTTGGAACAGGACCAGTGCTGCCGCCGTTAGGGCCGCGGGTAGGAGATGTGTCCGGCGGGTATTCCGCGGGGTCGACGACGTCTAGTACCTTTTTAACTGGAAGCACCACTAGCATTACCAACACCACCAACACTACTACCACTACTACCACTACTACTAGTAATAGTAATAGTAATAGTACTGCTGCTACGGCAGGCACTAGTGGCACGCCAAGAGTAATCAACCTTCCGCCGCACCAATCAGCCCCTCCGCTACCGCCAGTTGGCCAACTGGACCCTGCACTGACTTCTGGGTCGTTTGCACGAGCTGCAATGGCGGGATCTCCGTCAGCAACAACAAAAACAAAAACACCACCGTCACAGTCACGGTCACGGTCACGGTCACGGTCTCAGTCACAGTCTCGGTCTCGGTCTAGGTCAAGATCAAGATCAAGATCAAGATCAAGGTCAAGGTCTAGGTCACGGTCGCGCGATAGAAGTGCAAGTCCATCAAGCCGGTTTTTCATGGGCCACCGTAGACGCCCACAACGGGGGCCACCACAGACTCCAAAGACTCCACCACCACCACCACCACCACCACCGAAAGAGTTTCGAAGCAGTGCCAATGTGGATCACGATCCTGGGGGTCAAGGAGAAGTTGCAGCTACAGGGACTGTAATGACAAGCACAAGGATACCGGAACAACAACAACAACAACAACAACAACAACAACAACAACAACAAGGTGGTGAGGTATTACTGCTGCGGCGGGATTCTAGAGAAGAGACTCGGGGGAGTAGTAGTAACAGTGATCGCAATAGTGGTCGCAATAGTGGTCGCAATAGTGGTAGCAGCAGTCCAAGTGGAGAGGAAGGATCTACAATTACAAGGATGATGATACCTTTAAGACGAATGACGAGGAGCCAAACACGCCGGAATCCTAGGGGCGATGTTGAAGGTTCTAGTAGTAGTAGTAGCAGTAATGGCAGCAGACATGGACGATTACGAGAACGAGGACGATTACGAGGACGAGAACAGTCTGGGTCTGTGGAAGATTCTCCTTTGTCTGAGGAGGCGTCGACGTCTCCCTAAAGGATTTCCAAAACACCCCTTTTTTTAACTTTAAAAATTTTTGTATTTTTTTTTATTTTTTTTTTTTTTTTTTGGTGCTTCTTCTTATACTTTTTCTTTTACTTTTACTTTAAACATTTTGTAATTATTTTAAAAAAAAAAAAAAACAAAATAAAATTTCCATTAATTTTAATGAAAATTTAATGAATTTAAATACAATTTTAAATACTACATTTTTAATGAATTTTAATGAATTTTAATGAATTTTAATGAATATAAAAAAATATACAACAAAATTCATTTTTTTTTTATTTTTAAAAGTTTATTTTTATTTTGAAAAAAAAAAACACAGAAATATATAAAAAATCTTGAAAACCAGCAAGAAGAAAAAAAAAAAAGGGATGAAAAAAAAATTGGGTATACAGAGGGCGTCATTTATATAAATATATATATAAAATAATAATAATAATAATTTTTAAAAAGTATAACTTTATCCTTTTATTTTTTTTTTTTTTTTTTGAAAACAGACAATACACCTTTATATCTGTAATGTATGTCTTTCTTTCCTTTTTTTTTTTTTAGTTAAAAAAACCTCCTGCCCCTTGTTTTAATTTATTTTGATTTTATTTTAATTTTTTTTTCTTTTTTTTCCCCCTTGTTTCTCTCGCTTTAATTGTAGAGAACAAAGTTGGCACGGCCAGAAGTGACAGCAACAGTGCATCCATCAGATCCACCATTGTAAGAGCCATTTTCATAAACACACTCGCCATTGACAACAGCGCCGTCCTCAGCAACAATCTTAACATTGAAGTTGGCAGCCGCATTGTTATTGGGATTGGGAATGAGGGAAAGGTAAGTCACGCCATTGTCGTAGCCAGCACCAAAGTTAAGGGGAGCCCAGTTACCAACACCGGAGCCAGAAGTACCCCAGATGCAGCCGTCAGTCTGAGAAACACCAGCATTGTTGACATAGTACTGAGCAGAAGTCTTCTTGCCCTGCCAGACATAGTAGGACTCCTGGTCAACAACAGTAAGAACAGAGGTGGAGCCACCATTGACAATGGTGGGGATGACCATGTTTTCAGTACCAGGGTAATCGGTTCTGCAAATGGAAACAACGCTGGAAAGCTCGGAAACAACGCGGGCAGAGTCAATACCCCAAGTGCAGAGAGTATCGTAATCAGTGTTTGAGCGGTAAAGCTTACCATTCTTGCAAAGAAGACCACCGACAGAAACACCATTGCTGGGTTGGTCAGAGGGCCACTGGGTCTTGGACATACCCGACTCGCAGGCATAAGAGCAGTAAGAGCCCTCGGTGCAAGAACCGCCGGTGGAAGTGTCGGAGTTGTAGAGGCCGGACCAGCCGCCAAAGCCAAGGTAGTCGAGAGCAATGACACCGGGTTGATCAGAGGGAAAGGTGGAGCAGTCGTAAACGCCATCTTGGAAGGTGGTGTCGATGGAAGCAAAAGCAGCGAGACTACCTCCAGTGGAAGTAGAGCCGGAAGAAGAGGAAGAGGATGAGGAAGAAGAGGAAGAAGAAGAAGCAGGAGCGGAAGATGAGGAAGAAGAAACAGACTCAGCTGAAGAAAGAGAGTAGGCGAGAGTAGAGGAGGAAGGAGTGGTGATGGCTGAAGAAGTGGGAGCAGCTGAGGATTCAACAACGACTGAAGAAGAAGTGGGAGCAGCTGAAGATTCAACAACAACGACCGAAGAAGAAGCGGCAACAACGGAAGAAGAGGCTGCGACAACAACGGGAGAAGAGGAGGAGGAGGAGGAGGAGGAGACTGCAACGACGGCTGAAGGGGTAGCAACTTGAGAAGTAACAGAAGAGGAGACCTCAACTCCGTTAGCGTCGACGTACTTGATGACAACGTTATCATTAGAAGCGGCGGCAACAGCGGAAACAGAAGAGGTGGTAGGAGCAACATTGGTAGCAACAGCAGCCACGTCTTGGGCAGCAGATGTAGTAGCAGCCACTGCAGGGCTCTGAGCGTCGACTTCTCCAGTAGCGGTTTCAGTGATTGTGTTTCCGTTGGCGTCGACGACGACGGTTACGTAGACGTACTCGACCTTTACAGCACGCTTATGGAGGTGGTGAGCGTGATGGAATTCAGCATGGGGAGCAGCAGCGACAGCTGAGATAGCGGCCGAGGTGGCCATAATATGAGAAAACTTCATTTTTTAAGTGATATAGTAGTAGTAGCTATTTTAATAAGGATGTTAGCATGATTTTTTTGAAATGGATATAATAAAATGGAAAGTTTGATTGTTCTTTTTTTTTTTTGGCGATGTTTTTTTTTTTTTTTTTTTTTTTTTTCATTCCGGAGGTTTGGCGAGTATTTGTATTGGTATATAAAAAAAAAAGAAAAAAAGAAAATGGTGTTTAAAAATTGTGAAACCCTAGCCCTGTGGATTGGAAGGCGTTGTTAGGGTAAAAAAAAAAAAAAAAAAAAAAAAAAAAAAAAAGGCGCAGAGACAAACAAGCAAAAATTAAATATTAAAAATAAGCTCTAAGACACCGAACGTTGGATGATATTTAAAAGGAGAAACGAAAAGAATGAATGAGACTTACCGAAATATAGCTATAAGATATATATATATATATGATAGATTGAAAATGTTTTTTATAAAAAAGTTGATAATAACAAAAGAATGGTTCTAGTTGAAAGCCTTGTTTTTTTTCGTGTTTTTAATATTGTATGTTACCAAAGGAATGACAGACGCAAAGGTCGGATGAACACACAAGAATTAAATAAAAAAAAAAAAAAAAAAAAGGGGTTTTAGTTAAAGGAGTGAATAGAAGTAAGTATTTAAAAAAAAAAAAAAAAAAAAAAAAAACACAGAACGCTTAGATGGCGATGGATATGAAATAAGTTATGTTGATGATGGTGGTGGTAATTAAAAAAAAAAAAAAAAAAAAAAAAAAAAAGGCAAAATGGTGGGTTTTTATAAAAAAAAAAATTAATTTTGTGAGGATTTCATTCCCTCCCGAAGTCACAGGACGTTGTATGTGTATGTGTATGTGTATATGTACGTGTGTCAAAAGTCTTTGAAAAGCGTGCGCACACAGTCAGAGCATTTTTTTTTTTTTTTTTTTTTTGCTGCTTTCTTTTTTAGAAAAAAAAAAAATAAATAAAATAAAATAAAATAAAAAAATTTTATTGTGGCTTACATCAGTGCTGACAAAAAACCAGCATCAAATTCGTTTCAAAGGAAATTTTGATTTTTTTTTTTAACGAAAGGCGTTTTAAATAAACAAAAATAATAAATAAATAAATAAATAAATAAAACAAAACAAGATTTCATTCATTCATTTATATATATATATAAAAACAACCAAATTGTTATTCATTTAAATAAAACATTAAAAAGTCATTCTTATTTTATATATATATATATATATATATATATAATTTAATAATTTAATCTCACAACTTTAGTCACAAACTGTTTACTTGTTCGTCTCCATCCTTTTCTAAGTTAACCTAACTCATGTTTCTAAAAAGCAGGTTTTCACACACACAGTTTGAGGTAAACAGGTCAAAATCATTTATATGAACTTATTATATATCTTATTATTATTATTATTCTTCTTCTTCTTCTTCTTCTATCTTGTTCCAGGGTCTGCAGGTACGCACTCAAATGTGTCACTTGAAAGTTTTTTTTTTTCTTTTATTTTATTTTTTTTTTATTTTCTATTTTCTCAATGTTTGGAAAATATATATATATGGTGCGCATCTCTTGTTAATTTCTTTAAATGTAAATTGTAGATTTAGAAAAAAAAAAAAAAACAGAGCTTTTGAAAATAAACTTAAGCTATTAGATGATGAGATGAAGATGAGAAAAAAAAAAAAAAAAATAAACAAAAACAAAAAAACTCAAAATATAATTTTACACCTTTGTATATTTAAAATAATAATAATAATGATATTTATTTTAAACATTTAATACCTTCTTAATACTCCTATTAATACTCATAACTTACACAACTGTGGGTCTTTTAATCAAAAAAAAAAAAAAAAAAAACTTGATATTCTTCGTTTTTTTTATTTTTTTTTTTTTTTTTGGGGGAGGGCCATTCAACTTTTTGGTACACCACATATATATTATCCCCCTAATAATTCATTTATGGGGGGGGGGGGAGGGAGAAGAACCCATTGAGTGCACTGCGGCTTAATTGCAATATTTATTATTATTATTATTATAATATCCACATGTACACCCACAAAAAAAAAAAAAAAACCCTCTCTAATTAAATAAAATAAAATAAAATAAAATCCAAGTCGGTCCTAAATGGTATCCCAAAAGTGTGCGCAGATGATAATTGCACTGACAAGAAAAAAAAAATAAAAATTAAAAATTCTGGTTGGCTAGTTACTTCTTTTTTTATTTTATTTATTTTTTTTTTTTGGTTCAATATATATATATATATGAATATGAATATATCCCCATTGGTATATATGCGGGTCTTCAATCATCATTTATTTAAACAAAAAAAAAAAAAAAATTGTTATTTTATATGAATGAATAGTTGGTAAAAAAAAAAAAAAGGAACGTAATATTTTAAATAAATGGGGGATTTTTTTTTTTTTTTTTTTTTCTAGTTGAAATTCTATTTTAATATATTCTATTAAATATTTAAAATAAAATGTTGTTTCCAATTTTTTTTTTGAAAGATCTAAATATCTATTAAATAAGCTTTATAGTAGAATTCAGAAAAAAATCATTTTGGGTAAGGGATCTTGTCTAATGATAGAAACGGAAATAGCCCTTCTAAGTAAAATATATAAATTTTACTTACAAATTTGATTATTTAACTACAAAAGCAATGCACAAATATATATATTATTATACCGTTTCCCGTTTCCTTTTTCTTTTCTTTATTTTATTTTTATATATTTGCTTTTTCAACGTCCCTGCACTAAGCTTTGTAAAGAGAATATTTATTTCTATTTTTATTTTTCAAAGGGTTTTCTTTTAAAGGGTCATCATAACCAGGTAGATATATATATATATCACAGATTGTTAAAAATAAATAAATAAGCTTAGACTTTTTTATTTTTTTTCTGGTTTACGTTAAATCGTTAAATCGTTAAATCATTAGACGTATGAATACATATATATATCAAATGTGTTTCTTTTAAACAATATATTATTACAATTATTATCATTAGTTTAGAAATGATTATTTGGCACCTTGCTAATGAATGACCATTTCTGTATTTTAGTTTTAGTTTCTTTATTATTGAAAAAAAAAAGAAAAAGAAAAAGAAAAAGATGAAATAGTGCGCACACTTGATCATTTTTTTGAAAAAATGGAAAATTTTTTCATTCATTTGACTCAACTTTAGAAACTAAAAACTAAAAACTAAAAAGAAAAAGAAAAAAGAGCAAAAAAAAAAAAAAAAAAAAAAAATGGCTTTTAAACAAGTTTGGAAATCTCCGATAAATTTCACAAGATGTGAAATTTGAAAAATTGAAAAAAAAAAAAAAAAAAATAAATTAATATTAGACGGTTAACTTCCGTTTCATTTTTTTTTTTTTTTTTTTTTGGTGGCATCAGCTGTTAAAGGAAGGCCAAGGCGGGAAGTATGTGTGTATGAGTGAGAATTATAATATAATCACGTGTTTGTAATATATATTTTAAATTATAATATTAATTGAAATTAAAATTGAAATTAAAATTGTAATTAAATTGTAACTGTAACTGTAATTGTAACTGTAATTAAATATTCCCGTGTTTACATGTTTCAAAAATAACCCGGGTTGCAACTTGGGAAACCTCCAAAACAACTAATAAAAAATTAACCCACCTTAAAGTTTACAAACATCACAACCACCCTCTCCCCCACATATCCTACCACCTCTATCTCTAGCCAATCCAATCTCGACACAAGTCAACATCAACCTACAACTACCTGTAATAAACGTAGAAATATAAGAGAAATAAAAAAAAAAAAAAAAAAAAACAGCTCAGTAGCAGTAAACCACCCAGATTGATTGGTATAAACAAAAAAAAGAACCTACCAAGTGACTCATCAATAATAAATTCATATGACTCTTGTCTCTATTCACTTTTTTTAATTCTTGTAAAAGAAGATGAAAAAAAAAAAAAAAAAACATATAAAATCCCCATTTTCCTAATTAAACTTCTTCTCCTTTTTTTTTTCTTCTTCTCTTTTTTTTTTTTTTTTTTTTTTTATTTTCACTCTATAATAACTAAGCAATCAGCTTTCTTTCACTAGTTGAATCAATCACTCTATCATCCATCTTCAAAAAATTTCTTGTTTTTTTGTTTTTTTATAATAATCTAACTTTTAGATAAATTCGTAGTAATCACTCTTTTTTTTTTTTTTTTCACCCCTCCCCCCCCCCCTTCAATACTAATCTAATTTTAAAAAAAAACAAAATGTCCAACGGTCAATCTGCTTCTGAAATCACTACTGCTACTGCAACCACCCAATTCAAACTTAAGGCTGGTCTTGCCCAAATGCTTAAGGGTTGGTACTTTTCTTTTATATTATTCCATCCCTTCTTTCTAACTCTTTTTTTTTTTACTAGGCGGCGTTATCATGGAGTACGATATATATTTTGCTTTTTTTTTTTTTTATAGCAACCTCCATTTGAAAAAAAAAAAAAAAAAAAAAATTTACAAACTAACCCAATTCATTTTTTTTTTCATTTTTTTTTCTTTGCTTGTTCTAAAGTGTCGTCAATGCTGAACAAGCTAAAATCGCAGAAGCCGCTGGTGCTGTCGCCGTCATGGCTCTCGAAAGAGTCCCCGCTGATATCCGTGCTGAGGGTGGAGTTGCCCGCATGTCGGACCCAAAGCTCATTCAAGAAATCATTGACGCGTGAGTGTCTTTTTTTTTTTTCTATTCTCTACTCTAATTAATATTCTAACAATCATTTAGTGTTTCTATTCCAGGTATACTTTCTTTTACTTTACTACTAACTTGCTTTTTTTTTTTTTCTTCTTCTCTCTCCCCACACTTTTCCCTTTTCTCTTAACTAACCCTTCTAGTCATGGCAAAGTGCCGTATCGGCCACTTTGTTGAGGCCCAAATTCTTGAGGCTCTTAAGGTCGATTACATTGATGAGTCTGAGGTCTTGACCCCTGCCGATAATGTTCACCATATTTCCAAGTCTCCCTTTTCCGTTCCCTTTGTCTGTGGTGCTCGCAACCTCGGTGAAGCTCTGCGCCGCATTGCTGAGGGTGCAGCCATGATCCGTACCAAGGGTGAGGCCGGTACTGGCGACGTATCTCAGGCTGTATTTCACATGCGTACTATTTCGCAAGATATTCGTCGTGCTCAGGGTATGCGCGATGAAGAATTGGCTGTCTATGCTAAGGAACTGGCTGCTCCACTTGATTTACTCCACGAAACTGCAAGACTCGGACGTTTGCCCGTGGTTAACTTTGCAGCTGGTGGAGTTGCTACACCAGCAGATGCTGCTTTATGCATGCAACTTGGTTGTGATGGTGTATTTGTTGGCTCTGGTGTTTTTAAGGGTGCCAATCCTGAGAAGCGTGCGCGTGCCATTGTGCAAGCCGTAACTCATTTCCAAGATGCTAAGACTTTGGCTGAGGTTTCTACTGATTTGGGACCAGCCATGGTTGGACGCACTTTTGATAGTTTGAAGGAGGAAGAAAAGTTGGCCAAGAGAGGTTGGTAAACAAAATAAGAATGAAATTTTTTTTTAAAGTCTGGGGGGGACTTTGCGGGGGATTATTGATTATTGATTATGATTATGATGATGACTGTTTCTTTTTAAAAGGAAGGTTTTTTTTTGGTTTGGTTTTTTCTTGTTTCTTGTTTTTTTTTTTTTGATTTGATTTGGTTTCATTATTTTTTTTTGGGTTGATCTGTTTTTTTTTTTTTTAAATGGAGTTTTTATAAAAGAAATGGGGGATTTCTTAAGGAAGACTATTATTATAAAAAGAGAGAGAAGACTTTAAAAAAATGAAATGAAATGAAAAATTAAAAAAAAATTAAATAAATAAAGAAAATAATTTAAACAAAAAATTTCTTGATTATAAAGAGAACAGAAAAAAAAAATATATATTTTAAAATTAAAGGGGGGATAAAAAAAAAAGAGATTTAATGTTATTTGATTTTATTTTTATTTTTTTTCTTGGGGGAAGAAAAAAAATTGAAAATATTTTTTTGATTTAAATATATATAGTTTAATAATTTTTTTGACAAATTTTTTAATAATAAAGAGAATTTTACTTTTGAAACTTTGATTTCGATTTTGATTTTGATTTTTTTTTATTCATTAATTAATACTATTTTGAAATCATTAAATTAACTTCTTTTTAAATTAAATTTATAACCACCACCCCTCCCTTTTAATTATTTAATTAATTAATTAATTAATTAATTAATTAAAATATTTAATAAAATTCAAAATTCAAAATTCAAATATTCATATTTAACTTGAAATTTATCTTCATTATATAAATCATCATCATCATCATCATAATTCATTTATTCACTTATTATTCATTTATTCATTCATTCATAACATTCGTTTCATTAATTTTAAAATAAAAAAAAAAGGGTACTACTTTCTATTAATTTCTTTTCCCCCCTTAAAATTTTCATTTTTTTTTTTTTTCATTATATACTCTTCATTTCATTTTTAATCCCATTTTTTTGTTGTTTTGTTACATTCTCACACACATACGTCATTTTCCAGTTTGTTTTTGTTTTTGTTTATTATTTTTTCTATCATGTACCCTTCATCTATCAACTATTGCCACCACCATTATTACCACTACCACTACCACTACTATTACTACTACTATTACTAGTCCCAGTACCTATTCCAAACGACATCGACTGCTGCGACCTCATTTGAAATCCTCGCCCCAGCCCAAATATTCCACCAATACCACTGCCACCAACAGCTCCTTCACCTCCTCCTCCTCCTCCTCCTTCACCTCTTGACCCTCCTCCACCACTATTAGCCTGGAAAAACTGCGGCTGCATTTGCTGCCGTTGTTGCTGATGCTGCAATTGTTGCAAATGTTGCAACTGCTGCGCATTCAAATGAGGCCCGTGATGATGAGACTGTCCTTGTGATGAAGTGGATTGTTGAAATGAGGCTGGCTGTGGCTGCTGCTGTGGTTGTTGTGGCTGCTGCTGCTGTGGCTGCTGCTGCTGTGGCTGTTGTTGAAATGGAGACTGTTGTAGCTGTGATTGCTGTAGTTGTAGCTGTGACTGCTGTTGTTGCTGTTGTTGCAACGTCTGAACACTAGAAAAAGGCTGTCGCGGGGCCCCTGACGGGCCTGCCGCCATAGTCCCTACTCCTGATGCTGCTGCATGTTGCTGCAGCTGTTGTTGTTGATTTTGTTGTTGTTGGTGTTGGGACTGCTGATGATGATTGTGTTGACCCGCAGATGACGTAGAGGATGTAGACACCGTCGAACCCGACGACGGCACAGAACAACTCTTGGTTGCCGAAGGAGTGGGCATACACCAGTGACGATGGTAATTCCATGCACGGACCTGACAGTCCTTGCTGCAATACTTGGTCCGCTTACACCGCCGGCACTTGGCAAACTGCTTAGGATACTTTTCCCACTTGCCACACTCAAAGCTAGCACACTGTCGAATCCCACCCTTAGTGTCATCCTTACGACACGAGTTGCGCATAATCACACCAGCCCAATACTTAATTTGTGGGGAAGTGTTAAATGTAAAGGGCTCAACCAGTGAGAAAATGTTGCGCACGGGACCAGTGCAATCTTCATCTAAATCTTGAGTAGTTTCAAAATCATATGAATCGTAATCATAAGATGAATCTTCATGATGATGATGATGATTACCACTACAGCCACCATCACTATCTTCGTCATCACTATCCATGTAATTGGCACGAGTAGATTCAAAAGTATGGCGGTTTTCAGTAGCACCAACCCCATTAGGGGCAATCTCATCAATCTCCATAGCCTCTAGGGTATCATCGGGGAAAACAGTATTTTCTTCACGAATGTAAACCTTATGTTCTGAAGGTACTTTAGACATGGTTGCCAGTCTTGGAATGATACGAGTAGACTGTAACTTGTCACGTAGGTATGTATACTTGGAAACAAATGCTAATATTTCCAATGACCAAATAATGTCTTCTTCCTGAGGAATCAATCGGCCACTACTGTCAAACGACCGCGGAGATACAATATGATGCTCATGAGGGTGGGGGCGGTAAAATTGCATATTGTTGGGTTGCTGTTGGGGGTGTTGCATAGTAACAGCTTGGCCACGATTCAACTGTGTTTGTGCCTGTCCTTGTGTTTGTTGAACACCTCTTTGAAGTCCTCTTTGTTGTTGTTGTTGTTGTTGCTGCTGCTGCTGCTGCTGCTGCTGCTGCACTTGCTGCTGCTGCAATAATCTTTGACGATCTTCCTGAATTTGACGTTGACGCAGCTGTTGTTCTTCAAGAGTAGGAGTTGGTGCAGCCGAATCACCAGCCCAAAGACCAAATGTAGGCTGTTGTTGTTGTTGTGGAGTAGCAACAGTTTCAGTTGCCGTACCAGCAAGGCCGACATTTGTTTGAGGGTTGGGTTGTGTAAGTGCAGTAAGGGTGAAATTTTCAGCAACTGAAGTAGCTGTGGGAGTTGAGTTGCTATTATTGGGATCTGAATGGAAAAAGTCCATATTAACATCAACAGCTGGAGAAGGAACAGGGGTGACAACATCATAACTGGGGAAAGATGCATTAGAGTTTTGATCCACAACCATGGAAGAAGTTGTTGAAGCATCAACAGTGGAAACACTTGATGTGGATATGTTGGAGTTCATTCTATAAATGGAGGGCATTGTAGAAGAAGTCGATACAATTGAGCTTGCTGCTGAGCTAGCAGCAGAGCTTGCAGCTGATGATGCAGCTGAGTCTTGCTGTTGTTGTTGTTGTTGTTGTTGCTGATCTAGATATAAATCAGTCGAAGTGTTAGCAGCTGCAGCTGCATTAACTGCTGCAACAGCAGCAGCGGTTGCAGGATCTGGTCTTATTCTAGGATGGTGGTGATGATGGTGATGATGATGATGATAGTGGTGATGGTGGCGATGGTTACCAGTATTGTTGTCTACTGAAGTTGTTTGTACTGTTGTAGTTGCATTTATTGTTGCAGGGGGGGGATCTGCAGCTGTTTCAGTACGACGAGCGGCAGCAGCAGCAACAGTAGCAGTAGCAGTGTCAACTGGAAAAGAGCCATGTCGTAAAGAATGCGAACATGATGAAGCTAGAGCAAGTTCAAGTGTTAGTATAGTTTATTTAAATTTTCCATCATGAAAAGTTGAATGGAGGAGTAATTGAAAAAGCATGTAAGGTCATTGGGTGGCAAACATAAAAAGAAAAAAAAAAAAAAAAAAAAAGGCAGCAACTGCTGCACACACACACACAGAAAAAAAAAAGGCCTACCACCACCACTAAAAAAATAAAAAATCTTGGCGGGATTTGAGCGCAAATCCGAGCCGGCCAGCTCAGCACAGCCCATTTCAGTCCAGTCCAGTCCAGCCCATCCCATCTCAATCCAGACCAAAAAAAAAAAATAATAATAATAATAAAATATAATGACATGGCAGTGAAAATAATAGTAGTAATAGAAATAATAATGATAATAATAATAATGTTGCTCAATACAACAAAATAATAATCACCATCATCATTATTACCATGTAAATGCCAAAGTCACGCGTTTAAAAAAAAAAAAAAATTTGAAAATAAACTTACTCGATGATTTTTGTTTTGGTGAAAGCTGGGAAAAGTTAAATAGCACTGTTGAAATAACAGGAAGAATGCCGCAAGATGCGATTCTGCGTCTGATTTCCTCACCTCCATGGATGCAAACAAAGACCAAGCACTGAAACGCCAGGGTCCATTTCCATGCGCTCAGAGTCTTAAAGTTTTCGAGCTCCATGGGGGTCATATTGCGAGTGCGAGACTCATCGCAGCAACAGCTTTGAAGAATAGCAGCAAGCTGCTCAATACCTCCATCCATTGCAAGAGAGTCTCTAACGCGGTCTGAAGAGGAGGCAAGAAAAATAAGGTGATTAAGAGAGTAGATGAGAGGCCTATCTGCAGAGCAGTCGAGAGCACGACGGTCGTAGAGCGACGTGGTCATAGAGATGGAGGCTCTGTTGAGAGGAACCGATCGGAAGTTGTTTTCTCTCATAATAACATGTGTGGTAGTTGTTGTTGATGTAGTGCTGGTATTGCTGGTATTAAAGAGGAAGGGGTAAAGAGAGGAGAGAGAACTGTGATAAGGTTATCAAAGAAAAATGCAAAAAACAGGATAGTTATAAAGATGAAATGATGAATCAATATATATATATATATGTTGTTGATTGATTGTTTGTTTGTCTGATGACTGTTTTTGATGATTAAGATGTTCTTAGTATATATGTATTGAAATGAATATAAAATGCTTTAGTGATAAAAGGTTGTTTATATTTTAATTGTTTTTTTTTAATGAGAAAAAAATGGTGGATAATGAGGAAAATAGAAATAAATCTCTATGGCCTGAGATTATAATCAAAGAATGATGATATTGTCGTATTGATTAAAAAAAAAAAAAAAAAAAAAAGTTGAATATGTTGTTGTTGTTGTTGTTGTTGGTTAAATGGATGATTTTTTTTTGATGAGAGAATAATAATAATAATAATAATAATAATGTTATAAGAGATGAGATTTTGTTTGATAATTTTTTTTTCTGGTTGCCTTCGACTTCGCCTTCTATAAACTTCTTCTTCGTCGTCTTCTCTTCGGCTTCTGATGCTTTTTTTTTTATTTCTTTCTTTTAAAAAAGAAAAAAAAAAATTGTAGTATTTTATTAAAAAAAAAAACTAAAAAAAAATTATTCTAAACCTTTCTTTCTAAATAAAATAAAAATAAAAATAAAAAAGGACAGGAGGAAGGTGGATATTTAACAAAAAAAAAAAAAATCCCACCACCACGTATTTTTTTTTTTTTTCTTGGGGAACTTCGGCACATACACACACACACACTGAGCTAAGATTTATGCCGTGAATTATTAATTAATTAATTAATCAATTAATCACAACAACAACAATAATAATAATAATAATAAAATAATAAAATAATAACCATCAACATATAGACAGTTATTAATTATTATTTTAACTTTACAAATATAATTATTATTATAAATATATACAAATATACAAATATACAAATATTTTCATATTACGAAAGGCTTTTTTTTTTTATTTTTTCTTTGCCCTTCCGTTGAATTGAAATTTAATAATTGCCACCGCCATCATTTTCAACATTTTCATCCTTTTGTTAACATCATCATCATCATCATCATCTTAATCACATACAAATCACTTTTATTTTTTCTAATTTTTTTATATAAAAATTTTTTGATTAAAGATTACGTTTGTTAAATGTTAGGTCAAGGTTATTTGTAACAATAATATAAAGAAAAAAAATTTTTCTTTAGCCACTAATAATTGTCAAAAAAATAAATATATATATATAAATCACATTTAAAAACAAAAAAAATCAACCTTTGAATAATTGAATTCAATCAATCTTTTCATTCATTAAATAATTAATTAGTTAGTTAGTTAAATAGTTAATTAGTTAATTAGTTAATTAGTTAAAATATTACTAGTTCTAATTGCCCTCCCCCCCTCTCCCCTCATTAATTCCTTCTTTAATTGACCTTTTCCCGAGGCCCTTTACTTTTACTACCACTTTATTTTTTATTTTTTTATTTTATTTTCTGACGTTAGTTTTTGTGTTTATATAAATGAATTTGGTTGTGTTTCAGCCACTTTGACTCAAAAAAAAAAAAAAAAAAAAGAAATTGCTGGAGAAAAAGAAGAAGAAATTTTTTTTTTCTTTTTTTTTTTTTTGTTTCCGCTACTGCTATTATCCGCCCATAAATGGTTACGTAACTTACAAATAAGCTTATTGTTTATGCTTATACGATTATTAGTAATTTATTTACTTCAAATATATATATATACACAAATCTCCTTTCTTCTTCTTCTTCTGTTTCTACCCCTCCCCCCTTCCCTATTTTATATTTTGTAATATTTAGGTCACCACAATTTATTGTATACTCGATAAAAGACGTCAAAAACATAAATGTACCCGAAAAACAAATAGTTAAATAGTTAAATTGACTGAATCAAAAAAAAAAAAAAATTAATTTAAATGTTTCCCCATTGAATTCAAATTATATATCCTCAGATTTTGATTTTGATTTTGATTTTGATTTCGACTCAACATTTAGAAAAGAGTCTTAAATATACTACAATTCTTCTTATATTTTATATTAAAAAAACAGTTCTTTTAATACTTACTTACTTGTGCACTTTAATATAATGGAAACTTTGCCAAGTGCTTTTTTCAAAACTCTTTTTATGTTCCTGAACTATTTTAACCTATTTTTTCCTATCCTATCCTATCCAATCCTATCCAATCAGCCAACTACATATACATATACTAAGCCCTGGTGACCTAACAAAGTGGCGATACCATTTGCAAATATCTATGCATTCAATAATTTCAATAATATAAAAAATACAATATATAAATATATATTGGCCATTGAATAAAAAAAAATAAACATATTATATATAATTATAACTAAATATTAACAATCACACACCCTCTTAATTTTCTTCCATTATATAAAGATTGCTTTCTTATCAATTGCTCATGATCATGGCTTAAGTTAATTAACGAAAATTACAATGATAAATAGTGCTGACCTTTTTTTTTTTTTTTTTTTTTTTCATTAAGCCTCTTATTATTATAATAATTCTTTAAATATAAGAAAAGTATTATTATTATACAAATATAATTTAAAATCTCCCAGAAAAAAAAAATTTTATCTCTGGAAACTATTCAATAGTGTTATTATAAGCACATAAACAATAGCCGTAGTAAAAAAAAAAAAAAAAAAAAAAAAAAGGTTTTAACAAAATATAAATAAATAAATATCTTGTTTTGAGATCATGTTGAATATCATTTCGAATGATTCCTATGTTCCTTGTTTTTTCTTAGGGCTTTGTTGTTAATTCAATTAAAAATAAAAATATAAAAATATAAAATAAAAGAAAAGTTTAAACCTTTTTTTTTTCTTTTTTTTTCTTCTACTTCATTTGAGATTCCTCTCGAGCTTTGGAAAAAATTCATTAAAACGAAAAAAAAAAAAAAAAAAAACAAGCTCTACAATCGTGATTGATTGTAATCAATTGTAATAAGTGTGTGATGTAGACCTAAATATGGTGGTACCAAAAGTCACATACATTACCCAATTACCTTCCATAAAAATCATAAATCATAAATCATAAATCAATTTTTTTTTTTTTTAACTTTAATCCTTGGATCCTTTTTTAAATCACTAATCTGGAATTTTGTTCTTTTTTTTTTTTTTTTTTTTTTTTTTTTTTTTTAAGTTCCCTCCCCTTCTACTCTGACGTAATTATCACAAATTCTAAGTCTTATGTCATTTCTCTCATTTAGGTTATATTTTATTTTATTTTATTTTTCTACAGAAATCTAAAGAAAATGTGATTAAATTAAATTAAATCCGTTTAAACCTTGTCTAATTTTGTTTATCTCCGTCTCTTCCATTTCATTCTTAACTATTCAATGTAAGCACTGACTTTAATTTTTTTTTTTTTTTTTTCAAAACTGACATCCGCTCTTTCTTTCTTTCATTCTTTCTATCTATTTCTCCTATTCTCTCTTCGCTTTTACTTTTTACCGTAATATATATACAAAAAAAAAAAGGTTCAAAAGCCGAAGTTTAAGAGAAAAATTTAAAATAAAATAATGACACCAAAAATAAATCATTTTGCCATAAAAAGAATAAATTCCGTATTGATTGATTCATCATCATTCAACATCATTATCTTTTTTTCTTCTTTATCCTAATCCTAATCCTAATCCTAATCTTAATCTTAATCAATTATTCATTGATGCTTATTATTAACATTATTATCACAATTTATTCAGCCTCATCTATATATTTATCATCAACTTAACTTTGCTTAATAATAACATTATCCCTTCTCCACCACCACCACCACTACCACTACCACTACCACAGTAGCAGTAACAGCAACCCTACCGGTAAATTGGGTGTCAACACAAAACCTTACCTTCTCCGCTAATTCATTTTTAAGCTTATTATATAGCAATATTGTAATAACTGCACATCCCATCAAATGCCGTTCCGACGGACTGTCACTGGAAAAACAACATCACAAATTTCTTTATTGCTTTTTTTTTTTTTGCCTTCCTTTACTTTGCTTTGATGTAATCATCATCTTCCATATAAATTTTGAATAAATCTAAAACCTCCCGTAGTTCTCACGTCAGAGTCTCTTCAAAAAATATATATATTTTAAAAAAAAAAAAAAAAGCAAAACTTTTGAGAGCAATATTAAACATGAGATAAATCATACGTAGGATAAATACAACCTTGGCGATCTCCTCATTTTTTTTTTCTTCTCTTTTCTCCTGATTTAGAAAAGACCATATTCAATTATCACTCACTCAATAACCTCAAATATCCTTATTTTCTATTTTTTTTTTTTTGCATGAACCATTAAATAAATTATGGTCTATTTACTTTACAATATATTCCGATAAATTGCAAAAAAAAAAAAAATAAATCAATCAAAGACATTAATCGTATATATTACCCATTTAATGGGGAATATTTACAGTTATATTTGATATACTTACTCAACCATTTACCCAATCACTTTCTTTCATTTTTTTTTTTTTTTTATCTTCAAAACAAAATTCTAGTCATACTATCGTCATTTTTATTTTTTTACAAATATTCCAATGAAACTCCATCAAACTTGAATTTCACTTTTTTATTTAATTTTTATTTTTTTGTCTTTCGGAATAACAACTTTTTTTTTTCATTTTCATTTTCATTTTCATTTTCATTTTCATTTTCATTTTCATTTTCATTTTCATTTTCATTTTCATTTTCATTTTCATTTTCATTTTCATTTTCATTTCCATTTCATTAAATTACCTATTTTGTTGATAAACCCACCAAAATTCTTTTAGATTTGAAGCCGTTTAAAATGAATTTTTTTTTATATTGCTAATAATAATGTTTTCTTTTCCTTTTTTTTTTTTTTTTTTTTTTTTTTTTTTTTTTTTTTCAAAATTTTAATCATTTATTTTAAAACACCTCAACTATTTTTTTTTTATCTTGTTCTTCTTTTTTTCTTTATATTTCTGCTAAAAAAAGTTGAAGCACCTCAAATTTATTTTATGTTCACTAAATTTCTTTTATTCACCTTTTTCTTTTCCTTCATTGGTATAGCGGCTATATATATTTTTCATTAAAAAATATTCACTTTAACTCTTTATCAATTTCATTTTTTCTTTTTATTTGTTTGATTTTTTTTTACCACTTTTCTCTATTATAATAGCTGATTCATGCTCTGTTTTGTTATTCCATTTAAAATAAAAAAAAAACATTTTTAGCCACTAAATCAAAAATCCAAGTCGCTCACTACACTAAGCTTCATTAACAAAAAAACTTCTAGGGTATAAACATTCTTGTAAAGTAAATTACGGATGGAGGTACATGCAATGAGCTTCTTGAACTTATATTTAGCCATATTCAAATGATCCGAAAAAATATATTTTAATACTTAAAGTATGGAATAAGGTAAATTGTTTTTTTTTCAAGAAAATTTAATTTATAATATCATTTAATTTAAAAAGCTAATAAAACTAAGCTTCATATTCAACTTCATTTTTTCTCCTTCTTTCTTTCTTTCTTCTTTTTGCTCAAATCAAAGCACGTGACTATATATATATATATATTTGCGCCGCATATACCATAATTTATATATTTCATTTTTCATTTCAATTATTACACACAAAATACAGTTTTTTTTTTCATTGTAACAAAAGACAGCCTTTTTTTTTTTTTTTTTTTTTTTGAAGCTTTTCCAGAAACTGTAACCTGTCCTTTTCTCTGTAGTCACCAGGAATCTCTCTTTTGTTGCAATGTATATTTAAGCATATATATGCTCACTGAATAGAGACCCCTCTAAAACAACCACCACTACCACCAACACACAGCCTTATTTACCCACTGCGCTGGCATTTTTCGTAAAGCTTACTTACAAGCTGTCCACAACCAACACTTTCCCTTTCCCTTTTAACTACTGCCACCACTTACTTCCTCTTCATATTCATTACATCAACACAACAACAACCCAACATCAATCAATCTATTTATCAATCAATCGATCGTGTTATAGCTTGTGCTTTAGCAATTTCTTCTACTTTTAAAATTATAATTTGCATATATTAATCACATACAACAATGGTATGCAGTTCTCTTTCTCTTTTTCTCTTTTTTTTTTTTTTTTTTTTTTTTCAACTGTTTTGTCACAAAGAGTCAAAGTGTTGTTTTAGCCCAGATTAAAATGAGAAACATGGAAAATTTTCAGTTAATGTCTTGAAAAAATATATATATATATATATAAATATACACCACCAAAAGCAAGAATAGAAAAAAAATAATAACCAGCATCATTCACCAAAGATAGAAACAACAATAGATCTTTTCCTCAAGTCAAATACCAGAATGATTTTTATCATTAATCTAAACGTGTATACCTTACCAATGAACCCCTTCTAAAAAAAAAAAATGGAGAAAAATCTAATTATATCATACACGACTTTTCACTGAAATTTATATCTCCAATCTAAAAAGTTTTGTTGTCAATTAAGATTACTGTGTCCTGTATTCCCAATTTATCAATCAAGCTCTTTTCAACTTTGATTCATTTCTTTTATTTGTTGATCTTTCCATTTTTTTCAAACTAACACATCTTCAGTCTTCATCTGCTGTTCCAGGAGGTCCCAAGTCCACTCTTAAGTAAGTCCTTTTTCCCTATTAACGGTTGCTTGATAAATTCTTTTGTTTTGTTTTATTTTATTTTATTTTATTTTATTTTATTTTATTTTATTTTATTTTAAATCTTTCCACTAAATCTAACCACTTGAATCTTTAGGAGACGCGCCAACCAAGAAAGACAAGCTGCTGCTGCTAACGAGCGACCGACATCCACTCGCTCTGCTGGTGCTGGCGGTTCTTCCAGCACCATGCTCAAGCTCTACACTGACGAGGCTTCAGGTCTCCGAGTCGATCCCATGGTCGTCATGGTCATGGCTCTGGGTTTCATCTTTTCGGTTGTTGCTCTGCATGTCATTGCCAAGCTCTCCAACAAGTTCTTTTCTAGCTAAAAGAATAATAAATGGAGGAAAATAAAGAAGTAGGAAGAGGAGGATGATATGATTAAAAAAAAAAAGAGGGAGGATATTGCAGGATATGGAAATTAAATCAGGAAATCAAATATATGAAGACGATGAAGGAATGAAGAAAAAAAAATAATGAATAATTTTTTTTAAAAAAAAAACACAAAAGACATACATACCTTTTTTTTTTTATCTTAAAACCAAGAACTCTTCAAGATTTGGAGATTCAAAATGATTGTATTTACATATTTTTTTTAACAATAGATTGTGTACCACTAGTAAATTTTTTTTTTTTTTCAAAAATAAAACAAGCTACTCAAACTAGCCAAATCACACACTTAAGCTTTTATTCTGATTTTTAACCAGAAAAACAATTATTAAAACTGCAAAAAAAAACAAAACACGATATATAATTTTTTTTCTTCCTTTCTTTTTTTTTGTGCAAAAGTCATACATTGAATATATAAAATGATAAACTTTTTAACGGTTGGACTTGGCAACACGCTCAAGCTCATCCTTCTTCTTAATAGCATAAGAGTTGGAGGAACCCTTGGCAGCGTTGATGAGCTCCTCAGCAAGGCACTCAGCAATGGTCTTGATGTTTCTGAAGGAGGCCTCACGAGCACCAATGGTGAGGAGGGCAATAGCCTGGTTGACTCTTCTAAGAGGAGAGACATCGACAGCCTGTCTTCTGACGGTACCAGAAGAACCGATTCTGGTAGAGTCTTCTCTTGGGCCAGTGTTGACAATAGCATCAACAAGAACCTGGAGAGGGTTCTGGTCAGTCAGCAGGTGGATAATCTCCAGAGCCTGCTGGACAATGCGAACAGCCAAGAGCTTCTTGCCGTTGTTGCGGCCATTCATCATCAAGGAGTTGGTGAGACGCTCAACAATGGGGCACTGAGCCTTGCGGAATCTCTTGGAGGCGTATCTGCCAGCAGAGTGTGAGAGGTAGACGGGCTGTCTGATCTGGATGTAGTCCGTCAGGGAGATATCCTTAACCTCAACATCATCAAAGGACCACTTGTTGAAGAGCTTGATGGCGCCAGATTCGGCAACAACGTCAGCAGGGAGCTTGGTGAAGCCCTCGTAGACGTAGACCTGTTCCTGCTGTTCTTCGATTTCAACCTCGACGTCAGACATCTTTTTCTTCAAAAGGTTATTTGGGGTGTCGGTGTGCTGCTGGGGAGTGCAATAAGACCTCTGGTGCAAGGAGGGATTGTACGCGGCGATGGGGGGGGAGAAAAGGGAAGGGAAAAGGGGAGGACGGGGGGGGGGAGGGAGGGAACGGGAGAGTCTGAGAGAGAAGAGAAAAAATTTCGCACACATACAATACACCTAGACTGAGGTAATCAGACTAAATAGTATTAGGTAAAACATGCGGCTGATTACCTATTTAGGGTCTCTGCGGTTCCTTTTTGGCAGGTTCGTAGTGGTTTTTGATTTTAGCATTGTTTGGGCATGTTGGAAATATAAAAACAATGTTAATGAAAAATTTTTTTCTCCAGTTGTCACATATATGTAATGTCACAAGTATGTAACACAGTTATTTTCATTTTTTTTTTTTTGGTTTTATTTTTTTTTTGTGTGTAGTCATGAAAAGTTTGCAGTTAAAGTGAGTCTTTCCTATTTTAAAATTAAGTTAGGGTAAAACCCTAAACTAAGTCATCGTTAAATGTATCTTTTTTTTATTGCTTTGTGGTGAGTTGACTTGACCGGAATTTTCATACTATTTTCTAATCGGGTCTTTATATCGGGTCATTATATCGGGTCTTTTATTTTCGGGTTTTAAATAATAAACTTTTTTTATTTATTTATTGCCTCCTTCACCTATACACCCCACTTCCCTCCGCACTATTTCCTACTCTCTACCTTCCCTCCCCCCCCCACATTCCCATGTCGGCTCTTTTCTAAACAACAAGCCCAACCGTTTATTCACGGCTTCCGGGCTCCGTCCGGTGCTCCGTTTTTTTTTTTTTTTTTTTTTTTTCTATTTTGTTTGTTTTTCTTATTTTAAATAAACACTCCGAAATCTTCCCAGATCCGTTCTTCTTTTCTAATACAAATCCGTTCACTTCTCCGGGCGCCCTCCCCTCTCAAAACCTATCCGAAGTCAAAAAAAAAAAAAAAAAATTAAAATAAAAATCAATACTTGAACACCCCGCATCAACAACTATAACTATCCGTATATATAACAACAACTTTTATTCTCTCCACACTCACAACACTTTGCACCCCGCAATCTGACTTCCTTATTTTTTTTTTTTTTTTTTTTTTTCATATATATATATATATATATATATAAACCCACATCAGGTCTTTTCTTTTAATTAAAAGATCTTTTTCAAAAAATATCATTCTTTATTCGGAATTATCACTACAAAAAATAATAATAATAATGTCTACAAAACTTTTGAGACCTCTTTTAAACAACAAGCGTGCTATGCGCACGGCATCGCGCATGTGGTGTGCTACATATAGCACCTCATCTACAGATTCACCTGTCCGCGTCCAATACGTTTCTGTCAATGCTCCTTCCTTTGCTGATGCAGAGCTTACCGATACTCCACCCGCTGATGGGTCCGGGTCAATTGCAATTGTGACACTCAATAGACTTAAGGCCAAAAACTCCATTTCACGACAATTACTGGATGATCTTCACACTGCTGTGACCCGAGATTACGCTGGACAAGGTACACGCGCACTAATTTTGCGTTCTGCAGCACCAGACATTTTTTGCGCAGGCGCAGATCTTAAGGAACGGAAAACATTTACCCAAGACGATACCCGCGCATTTCTTGCTAAACTCAACCACACTTTGGATTTACTAGAAACCCAAGCAGTCCCTACCATTGCGGCCATTGATGGTGTTGCACTTGGTGGTGGACTTGAGCTGGCTCTTGCAGCTGATTTCCGTGTTTTGGGACCCTCTGCAGTAGTGGGACTCCCGGAGACTCGTCTGGCCATCATTCCAGGTGCCGGCGGCACTTATCGTCTACCACGTCTTGTGGGTACTTCGCGTGCACTGGATTTGGTGTTAACAGGTCGGCGTGTGGGAGCAGCAGAGGCATTACAATTAGGTGTTGCATCTCGGGCTCTTGTGAATTCTGGAGAAAGTGCGGATGAGGGAGCATGGGCACTTGCGCGAGAGATTGGAGCAGGTGGGCCTGTTGCACTTGTTGCGGCGAAACAGGCAGTGCGTGGAGCAGCACCAGCATGGGAAGCTGGGATGTATGCTCGGGTTGTAAATACGGAGGACAAGTTTGAGGCTCTGGCTGCGTTTGCAGAGAAGCGAAAGCCGGTGTTTAAGGGACGTTGATAGAAGGTGAAATCTGGGGTAGAGAGCGGGAGCGGGAGGAATGGCGTTACTATAAATAAAATAGGGGTTAATATATATATATAGATATATATAAAGTTATTTATTATCAGTGATAATTGCCAAGTTACTGGAATTTAGGGGGAGGGTGGTAGGTGAGGTAATCTAATCTTCACGTGAAATGAGAGTATTTCAGTGTGCGTGGGAAATTTCATGGGCCGCACTGGTTGGCGAAGTGTTCAGCCAACCGAAAAATCTTTTTTTTTTTTTTTATTTTTATGGAAATGGCCAGCAGACCTAAATGGAGAAAAAAAAAATAAATTATTGTTAGAGCAGCACGTTTTGCAGCCAAATATATATATATATATATATATATATATATATATATGTATAATTATAAACCATCATCATCAAGGCCAAAATCACCCAAGTGCACACGTTGATTTAGAATTCAATCACGTTTATTGAAGGCCTATGGTGAAGGAGATGACTAGTGACTAGACAATAGCGTTGAAAGAAAATTTTTTTTTTTTTTTTTTTTAAGAAAGAAAGAAAGGAAAGAAAGAAAAAATTTCATCGGAGAGCTGAAGCGGGCCGTAACGGCGAAGCAGTTTTTTTTAAAAAATAAAATAAAAACTCTTTAGAAGAAAGAATTAAAGAATAGAAAAAAAAAAAATTCTTTTAATAAAAATTTTTTTTAATTTTTTTTTATTTATTTAATTAATTAATTATATATGGCGAAGGTCGGCGGAGGTCGGTAAGATGAGTCTTCTAAGCAGCCATTGAAGTGTAGAATATTATTAAGAGGCAGTATTAAAAAAAAAAAAAAAAAAAAAAAAAAAACCTCTCAGACATTTTATTTATGAATCCTTTTTTCTTCCTATTTTTTTTTTTTTTTTTTTTATAAATAAACCAATTTTTCATTTTACTATTCTTTATTTTATTTTCTCATTTTTTACTTTCTTTCTTGCTTTCTATATCTCTCTCTCTCATTTTTTTATTTATTTATTTATTTATTTCTTTATTTAAATTACTCCTTTTATTCACATAATTATAAGAATGACTGCAGAAACTCCAATAGAAAACTATGGCGCAACAACACCATCTTCTACAGCGGGGTCCGATAACGATAGTGTAGTCGACCCAAAGCTCGTCAACGGACGCGAATCATGGAATTACCCGCCCAAAAATGTCCTCAAAACAGTCGCCATGTTCTGGGGCATGATTTCCTTTGGCATGAATGATGCTTCTGTTGGAGTTCTTGTTAAGAGTGTAAGTTTTTTTTTTTTTTTTTTTTTTTCTTCTCTCTTTCTTCTATTTATCTAATATCTAACTTTTTTTTTTTTTTTTTTTTTTTCACAAGCTTGAACAACATTATCAAATCTCATACACATCAGTCTCTTACATTTTCCTACTGGGATTTACAGGATACCTCATTTCAGCATTTGTCTGCGAAATCTTTCACCGTCATGTGGGTCGCTGGGGTACTCTAACCCTAGGTGGTTTCTTCCAGCTTGTGTGTTTTATACTAGCATACACAATGCCCCCATTCCCAATATTTGTCATTGGATACTTTATTTCAGGCTTTGGTAATGGATTAATTGAAGCCTCATCCAACGCATGGGCTGGTAATCTCAATAATAACAATGAAATGCTGGGTTTATTACACGGATTTTACGGGCTTGGAGGCATTATTTCGCCCTTTGTCACAACCACTCTTTTGGTCTGGGGATACCAGTGGAACACAGTTTACTTTTTCCTTGCAGTCATGACCTCCTTGTCAACTATTCTTATTTTCTACGCCTATAGCGACGAAACGGCTGAACATTACAAACAAATCATTGAGCGTTCAATCAAGGAACAACAACAGCATCCTGAGGAAACTTCACCATTGTTACCAGGAATTGTCGATAATGAGCTTGATCCCGAGCATCACCACCATGATCCTAATAACGTACTGATGGAGATTGATCCTGCCATGGCAATTGAAAAGTCAACTCACGGACAAGTGTCTGCATTCCGCGAAACTCTGCAGTCCAAGCTTGCACTGTTATTGTCATTCTCACTATTCATGGCAGTAGGTGCGGAAATCACCTTTTCAGGATGGATCCCTATTTATATGATTGACGTACGTCATGGAGATGAAAAGCAGATGGGTTATGTGGGGACTGCATACTGGGCAGGCATGACATTGGGTCGTATGGGACTTGGGTTTGTGACGAGCCGTTCAGCATGGAGTGAGGAGCTGTGGAATCTAGTTTATATTTTGTGCACACTTGCGTCGATTGCTGGGTTTTGGTTTGTGCCGAGCATTGCAGTTAGCAGTGTGTGTGCTGTTCTCATTGGGTTTTTCAATGCACCTTTGTATCCAACTTCGATGGTTGTATTTATTAAGAAGTTCCCTGAGCATTTGCACGTTGTTGGTGTAGGGTTGCTTGCTGCGTGTGGAGGAGTTGGTGGTGCTTTGGGTCCATTTTTGAATGGTGTATTGACTACCCAGTATGGTGCATTTGTGCTTGCACCATTTACCTTTTCATTATTGGTGGCGATGCTTATTTCATGGATTATATTGATGAAGAAGTTTTAAAGGATTTTTATTTTTATTTTAATTTTAATTGATAGAATGAAATATAATATAGATATAATATTTATTTAAGAGGGACATTTAGGGTATTTTTTTTTTTTTTTTTTAAAATAGGTTTAATAATAGTTTTATTTTTTTTTTTTTTTTGAGTTTTAATGATTGATTGAATGAATGAATGAATGAATGAATGAAGGATGATGATGATTTGGACCGGAAAAAAAAAAAAAAAAAAAAAAAAAAAAAAAAAAAAAAACTTCAAAAAAGGGCACTGCGGCTGAAAAACAAAAAAAAAAAGTATAAATCCCGTGACCAGTTAGTTTTTCCGTTAGTCCAGGAGGGTAACATTTCACGTGACTATATATATCCGCAGCAATTGACAAAATAAATAAAAGTAAAAAAAAAAAAAAAAAAAAAAAAAAAATAAAAAAAAAAGATATCAGCCGTGTTTCTTTGTTACATGCAACAAAAATAAATAAATAAAAATAAATAAATAAAAAATAAATAAAAAAATTGCCATCCCTTTCATCCGGGGGAACCTGGGGAAATCACATGCTGAATTTGGGACTGCGTTGGCTGGGGGGAGACAGAAAGAGAGAGAGAAAGAAAAAAAAAAATGAAGAAGAACAACAACAACAACAAGAAGAAAACCAATTTTGACTGCTGCTGCCAATAATTACTATTTCAATTACTACTACTACTAATATATTACTTCATTACTATTACTTCTGGGCGAGTGGAAGAATTTGACTAACGAAAAAAAAAAAAAAAAAAAAAAAGAGCCCATTGAGATGTACTGAGCAATTGGATAACCACCATCATTAGGTACACTTACATTTATACATTTGCCATACAATGAATAAATAAAATAAATAGATGAGATTGGAACTTGGTTATTATATTACTTTTAGTTGCACTAGATATCGATTTTTTTTTTTTTTTTTTTTTTTTTTTTCTGCCGTATACCCGCTTACCCGGTGACTTTTGTGATTCTTTCAAGTCTTTAAGATCAGCAGTTTTTCAGTATTATTATATATTTTAATTTTTTTCTTAATAGAATATTAAGATCATTGATATTATCAATCTTTTATATTTAATTTATTTATTTAATTATTTAATTATTTAATTATTTAATTTTTAATTTTTATTTTTTTCAAATCAATGGTTTTATTTTAGCAAAAAAAAAAATATATATATATATAAAAAATATATAAAAAATATATAAAAAATATATAAAAAATATATATAAATCCAAACTTTTATTTATTTTATTTTATTTTTTTTTTCAATTCCAAGACTTATATTAAATATGATAGTGTTATTATCTAATCAATGACTAATCAATCCCTCCTGTCCGGGGTCAAAATTTTATTTTATTTTATTTTATTTTATTTATTTATTTTTTTTTTTCTCCACGCCGGAAAAACCGCTTTGAATCGTGGAGAAACGCAGCCCGTGGAAAGTTCTTTTTTTTTTTTTGGTCTGCTGGCTGTTGGAGTTTTTTTTTGAACTTTTTGGCTGCACGGACCATAAAAAAAATAAAATAAAATACTCCAATCTTTTCCCCATATATATATATATATATATACCAAAAACTACACAGATTGAGACCTTTCTTTCTTTTTTTTTTTTTAATATAAATACTCCGGACTTTTCCCTTTTTCTTTTTACCTTTTTTTTTTTTTTTAATTCTTTCTTCTGTAACTCTTTTTTTACAATACTTAATCTCTCCCTTTTTTTTTTTTTTTTTTTCCCCCTTCTACCCTTCATCATCCTTATACATCCACCTAAAAAATGACTTGTGGAATCACTTTTGCCCAACAAGACCAGCTCGAAAAGCTGCCTATCCCCAAACTTGAAGACACTCTTACAAAGTATCTCAGTGTTCTTAAACCCCTCCAAGTATGTTTTCTTATTTCAGTTTATTTCATTTTCATTTCAATTCAATTCAATTCATTTCATTTCATTTCATTTCATTTCAACCCAATTCAATTCTAACTCTCTACTACCCTTTATAGACCCCCCGTGAACATCAAAACTCACAAGAAGCTGTCAAAAACTTTCTCGAAACTTGTGGCCCTTATCTCGATCAAGAACTCCGCAAATACGGTGCTACCCGCTCCTCCTTTATCGAACAATTCTGGTACGACTCTTACCTTAACTATGACTCGCCAGTCGTCCTTAATCTTAACCCCTTCTTTCTCTTGGAAGACGATTCAACCCCATTTGCCACTACCCAAGTCCAACGTGCTGCCACCCTCACAACTTCTTCGCTCCGCTTCATCCGTGCCCTGCGACGTGAAGAACTTCCTGCTGACTCCATTCGTGGCAAAAATCTTTGCATGTACCAGTACTCCCGTCTCTTTGGCTCTGCCCGTATCCCCACCTCTAGCGGCTGCATGATGCAGTCTGACACCACCTCAAATCACATTGTCGTTGCCTGTCACTCCCAGTTCTACTGGTTTGATGTCCTCGATGAAAACAATGACCTTATCATGACCGAGGCAGACATGGCAATTAACTTCCAAACCATTGTCGATGATGCTACCGAAACCCCCATCCAAGAGGCCGCAAAGGGCGCACTCGGTGTCCTCACCACCGAAAACAGACGCATCTGGGCTTCCGTCCGTGAAATCATGAGCCGCGATGAAGACCCCACAAACAATGAATGCACCAAACTCATTGACTCCGCTCTCTTTGTCGTCTGTCTCGACCACGAGTCTCCTGAATCTCTCTCTGACCTTTCTAGAAACATGCTCTGCGGTCTTTCTGTCGTCGAACGTGGTGTTCAGGTTGGCACATGCACTAACCGTTGGTACGATAAGCTTCAAATCATTGTCACCAAAAACGCCAAAGCCGGTATCAACTTTGAACATACCGGTGTCGATGGTCATACCGTCTTAAGATATGTTTCAGACATTTATACAGACACTATCCTTCGTTTTGCCAAGAGTATCAATGGCCAATCGCCCTCTCTCTGGGCTTCAACCTCCCCTGACCCCGCAAAACGTGACCCGAGCTCCTTTGGCGATGTTATCACTACCCCACGCAAGCTCGAGTTTAACATCACCCCAGAGCTCGCTCTTTCCCTGCGCTTTGCTGAAACTCGCCTTGCTGACCTTATCGAGCAAAACGATTTCCAGGCTCTTGAGTTCAGTGCCTATGGTATGAACACAATCAAGAATATGGGCTGCTCTCCTGATGCCTTTGTCCAAATGGGATTCCAAGCTGCTTACTATGCTCTCTATGGTAAGACTGAATGCACATACGAACCCGCTATGACCAAGCGTTTCCTCCACGGCCGTACTGAAGCCATTAGAACCGTCTCTGAAGAGTCTAACGATTACGTCCACAAGTTTTGCGAAGATGCTCCTGCTGCCCAAAAGCTCGAGTATCTCAGACGCGCTTGTGAAAAGCACGTTTCTACCACCCGTATTTGCTCCGCAGGTCTTGGCCAGGACAGACACTTGTACGGTCTCTTCTGCATCTGGAAAAAGATTCTCGATGACGAAGATGCTGCTGCTGCTGCTGCCGCTGCCACTGCCGCTGGCACAAACTCTAGCACCCCTAATGGTACCCCTGCTCCTGCCAATGGTGGCGCTCTTTCCCCCACAGGTACCTTCAACCTGCGTGAGATCCCCGCCATCTTTGCTGACCCTGGTTGGGACAAGCTCAACAATACCATTCTTTCCACATCTAACTGTGGTAACCCTGCCCTTAAGCTCTTTGGCTTTGGCCCTACTTCTCCTGAAGGTTATGGCTTGGGCTACATCATCAAGGAGAACTCTATCACCATCTGCGCGTCCTCCAAGCACCGCCAGACAAAGCGTCTGCTGGATACCCTTAACTCTTACTTCCTCGAAGTCCGCACCCTCTGGCGCCAATCCACTACCAAGTCTACTCTTTCATTTGGCAGTCGCGCCCGTCACCTCGATATGGCTACCCCCCATGGTGCCCGCACTCCTACTCATGCTATCATCGGCCGCACTGTTAGCTCAACAGCTACCCCACGCACCATGGAGCAGCAGGAAGACGAGGTCATTTCCTACTTGTTGGGTGGCTACGGTTACTTTGACATTAACGATTACAAGGCTGTCAAGACTCGTGCTGCTTCGCCCGAACCCCCGGCATTCCAAGCTGCTGCTAACCGTAGAGAACTTGGTCGTAAGCTTCGTCTTGCTGAGTATTAGTGTATTTACACATTGACAAGAAGAAGAAAATAAATAAAAAAAAAATTGACTATTATGATAGAGTTTGAAATAAAAAGTGTTTTTTTTAAGAATTTGGAAATTTTTCAGAAAATGTAAAATAAATCATGAGTTCAAGAATTCATCGATTTCGGATCTTTGTGTAACATTGGCAAGTGAAAATTAGCGATAAACAAGACTGTTTAAAAGGTTGTAAATAATTATAATGAACAGGTGGTATTTGGTATTTGGTATTCCTTATTCTTTATGAAAATATTAAATTAAATGGCCACAAAAAAAAAAAAAAAAAAAAAAAAAAAAAAACACAACTTCAAGAAGACCAAAACAAACAAATACTCAACCATTGTACAACTTCGAGAATACTACAATAACTAGAAAATCCTTGTTCTGGATAAAGCACAAAAGTGTTTCAAACCATGATTGACTTTAAACAAAGCGAAATGAAAGTCACCAAGGCTGAAAAATAAAAAAAATAAAAAAAATAAAAAAAAAAAAATACTACCGAAAGTAACAAAGACAGATTTTTGAGCTAAACTCAAACAATGTTGTTCTTAAATTCCAACCTAGTTGAAAAAAAAAATAATAACAATATCACGGGCTAATAAAGTGAAGCCAGAAAGTGCAAAAATTTTTAAAAAAAAAATTACCTTAAAAACGTGCACCTGGCTCTACTGGTGACTCTGTTACCAGTCAATGTACGGTTCTTCACACACATGCTAATCATAATAGATCTACTTGCATTTTTGGTCATCTGGTAGCTCGTTGAAAGCTCCAGGCTTAGGTTGTTGTACGATTTTCCCGGGGGGACTTTTGATATTGCAAAGTGGTCATTCTTGAGGAGAATGATAGAGCTGATTTCATTTATATATATATATAGGGAATAAGATAAAAGTGGAGATAAAGAAAAAAAAAAAAGAATCAAAAGTATGCTAGAGGACCTTGAAGAGTGTTGGAGCTTGTTTGTGCTCTCTCTCTCTCAAAAAAAAAAAAAAAAATAGTTTGAAATCAACACAAGTTCTTAATACTAGTCTTAAGTTTGTTAAACAGTCGACTGTTTAACGAACTTTGGAAATAAAAAAAAAAATAAAAAAAAATAAAACTACCAAGGTTTTGTGAATCTTTGGAAACCAATTGCAATTGTTCTAAAAACAAAACAAGGGTTATCAAGAAAAAAAAAAACTTATTTTCAAAATTGAAATGAAAATAAATAAATAAAATAAAGTGGAAACTTTTATCTATGTTTCATTTTACAACAATATCAATATGCGTAAATATATATCAGTATTAATTTATTTATTTTATCTTTTAAAAATATCACCAAAATATAACCAAAAAAAAAAAAAAAGATTTTGTGACAATTCATTTAATATATAACTTATAAGTTATTTATCAAAAAAAATTTTTACTTTATACTTTAATTTTTTTTTTTTTTCAATCAGACATTCCTCTGCAAGTATTTTTAAAATAAATATACATAGTTTTAAACTATGTATAGTTTGAAACAAACTCATCTAAAAGAAAAAAAAAAAAAAACATTCCAGTTCTTCAAAATTATTGTTATTAATAATATATGAATGAAAAAAATTAAAGTTGTACATTCCACTTACTTAAATATATATATATATATATATATATATATATATATATAAGGCGGCAGTGAAACTATTTATTTTCAATATCAAGAGCTGAAAGAATACCATTGACATTAACGCCATCGTTTTTGCTCATTACAATATAACTTCCCAATTTTCACAATAAACTTTTAATTTGACTTCAACGTTTAAATCTCCATCATCTCCCAAAATATGTTCCCATGCTAGATTATGAGTAACAAGATATCAAATACCAAAGTATACCCAACTTATTCCCACTTGTCTTCTTAAACGCTGTAATTTTATTTTTCCAGCAAAGAATATTTGATCAATGCCTGTGCAAAACTGAGTAATGGTGCCTTAGATAATTTGACTTTTTTTTTTTTTTTATACTCACTAATGTGACCATTTTAAAAAAAAAAATATTGTTTGTACGATTCATCTCCAATATGATTTTATGATACCTTTGATTTTTCTTAATTTGACAATAAGTTTTTTATCCTACCTTTTCCGAGTTCCAATATTCTATATGATCGACATGTGGAAAACCAAAAGCTTTTGCTATCATGCCAGGATATAAAGTGGGGTTTGCTTTGCAATTAATAATTTCTTATTCAAAGCAAATAAATAATTATTAATAAGAGCTGGTTTTGTTTATATTAAGATGTAAACAAGCATCTTTTCATTATTAATTTTAACATAAGATAATGATGCCTAATATCAGCATTTCAGTACCATAATAGGAGTTGTGCCATAAGCCACAACAACTCTTCTCAAAGCCATTGTCATCATCATTTCCGACTCGTGGATTTCCTTTTTTCAAGTTCTTGTGATACCAAATATATATACCATATTTTACAATTGATTTCTTAGACAATTAATACCAGGATCTTACTGCAACTTCCCCCACATACCTTTTAGTGTTCTACCAAGATTTCAAATTGTTCTTTCAACCCGCTTTTCTTGCCCTTGTCGATTTTTATTTAAAATATAAAATTTACAGTTGAGACGGTTGCTTAAAATGATTCCAAGCAATTTGACTTCTTTCTGGGATTCAGAAAGTTTTCCATTAAGTAAAGGAAGTGGCACTTTTTTATATATATTTAGATTTCATATTTTGTTTGTAAAATGAGTGAAACCAAATTTATCATCCAAATTGATTTTGACCTTTTTTTTCTAATTTTATCTTTAAAAGTAGTTGAAATATCATTAAAAAGCTCAAAATTTGTTGCTATATTCTTATATATTATGGAATAAACAATTCTAGTACTTATTTTTTTCTTGCACTGGCTCTCTTACTTACCCCCTGAGTATATTATCCTTCATATGACATACAAAATTAAAAATTAAACTTATAAAAAATACAATTAGCTTAATATTTTATAATAAATCTTTCAAAATTTACAATACAGAGTAGTTTGTTTAATGCCTAAATACTATATATTGAACTCATTATTTTTATTTTTAAATTACATGGGCGTCTGGTGTAGTTGGCTATCACGTTTGCTTAGCATGCGAAAGGTCCCCGGTTCAACTCCGGTGTCGTCCATTACTTTTTTGTTTGGTCAATCGATTAAATTGAATATATTTCTTTTCCAGGGTAGGATGAAATGTATTGGTTTCTATGCTTATAATGAAAACTGATTGATTTAACTTATTTTTATAGGTTGAAATGGTTGAAATTTTTTTAGTCTTTTAGAGTGCCTTTTTTTTTCATAAAAAACTTGGCTATAGTTACAAACCAATGATATGGTAGGTTCCTTTTTTAATAAGAATTTTTATTTAACAATTAATTACAATTTATCTGTAGATTTGGGAAAATGATATGATGGTTAAAAAAAAAAAAGGGGGAAAAGTAGGAGAATTGATACCTAGTAATAACAGTTGTCAAAAATATAAACCAAAAAATATTGCTCCACAGGTTCAAATTAGAAAGTTTTTTGCTTCAAAACAAGTAAAAATAAACATGGATTTTCAAAAACTTCAGAGAATAATTTAAGAAGAATATTTAATCATAATAACGTTACTTTACAACAGGAGCAAAAAATGATCTGTTAAAATTTTGAACCCCCAATGCCTCTTAAAGGAGCTTAAAAAAAAATTTTATGACAATGAAAATACTTTAAAAATTCTAAGAAATTATAGTGTTTTACAATTACAGATCCTTTTAATAAAAGTTTTTAGTAAATCACTTCTGGGTTAATCAAGTATATAGTTGAGGATATATAGTTTTTAAATTGAATTCTCCTAAATACCAGTGGACGGTTCAAAGACTGAATCAAAGTTGTTTACTAAGGCTTATGAGTCTATTTCAATAGATAAAACATTGTGGCTAATCTAGACTTAAGGAAGCATATCCAAAAAATGAAAATTTTTACTTGCCTCTTTCTAAAACTTAACTAAAGTGTCTTCTTGATATCATAAACTCTGAGAAGAAAGTTATTCAAAATTTAAAAAAATTTTAAAAAATGGGTATTTCACAATTATTAAATTCAGAAAATTTAGATAAAATTTAAAATTTGCTTGTTTGTTTGTTTTTATTCAAGGGTTATAGAACTATATAACATCAGCATCTGCGCTATCCTTTTATTGTCTGACTATGTGACTTGCCGGTTTTCATTTGTACCTTTTTAGTACAGGTGGTTTCTGTTCTGTGCGTCTCCGGTAGCCCGGAAGATGGGCCCTGATGCCAGCTTACGAGGAACAGGGAGAACCAGTCTGTCGGTCCCAAAACCTTCCCAACCCATTTCCACTTATCTTCATGGACGCCCATGTATTTCTTAATCTCTTCCGTCAGAGATACGGTCTGCAATCACCTGCAGGCTATTTAGACTGTACGGAAGAGTCGGCATTCCTGTAACCAGGGTAGCCTATGGTTTTCAGTCTAGGTGTATACTCCCGTACACATCCTCAGGAAAAGGGGGTATTCTGGGAATCGAACCCAGTATCTTCCGCTTTCGAGCAAACGTGTTATCCTTTACATCATCCAGCCCTTTTCCCTAATTTAAAATTTGCCCACTTGTTTGTTTGTTTTTATTCAGATTTGCCCACTTTTTTTTAACTTTTTAGCATTTGATTTCAATGAATTATTATATATTAAAATTCACTTTTTTTATAATTACATGATGCAGTGGCTCAATGGTAGAGCATTGGATTCCAAATCCAAAGGCTGCAGGTTCGATTCCTGTCTGTGTCAATTAACTTTTTTTTAAAGTTTTAAATTTTGTCAATTCCCATGCTCAAAGCCCATCTGAGCTGTAACAAACTATTTTTTTTTTTCTTCCAATTGTATGGTTGAAAATCTTCACCTTTTTTTTGTGTTCCACAAAATAATAATCCACCACATCATCACCACCTCTAAATATTAAATACCACGAATATGTCCTCTGAAGACCCTACAAAACAATCCTCTTCTCAAGTCTTCCTCGAAGATCTTCCACCTAAATTTGACGAGTCTGAAGCTCCTCCTCCTCCTAAGCCTTCGGGTCACCCCGTGCTACCGCCTCGTAAGGTTGCCCCCTCAGGTACCGGTGCCGGAACTCCACTGATTCCGCCGTCCTCTGCTGCAATGGCTGCTGCGGCTGCACAATACGATCCTAACAAATCGATGTTTACGCAGGCTCTGGGCACAGTTCAAGCTTCTGATTTTGGACAACTTAGCAATATTCCATGTTTCCGCAAGGCAATGCTAACAGGCGGTGCTGTTGGTGCTGTTGCATTTGGTGTACTAGTGACAGCCCGCTGGCCTGCCCGTCGTGCTCTCAACTGGGCAGTTGGTGGGTTCATTATTGGGTCGATTGGTTCTTGGGAGCAGTGTCGGTTCCAGATGAGACGGGAGCGCAAAAACACCGAAATGGCAAGAGAAATCTATAGAAACAGACAATCAGCAAATAGCTCGGACGGAAAGGAACCCCCGGCTTCTGCTGCTGCTGCTGGCGGGTCCGCAGCACCCGAGTCTTAAACGGGCATTGGGCCAGTGGAGGAAGATTGGAGCTGAGATTTTGGGATTGCTAGTGTTGAAACCTGGACTGTTTGTGTGACGACGAAGGACTGTTGCTGTGGGGAATCCTGGAGTTTTCACATGTGAAAGAGAAAAAAAAAAAAAAATTTAAAGCTACAGAGCTGATGAAATACCCACAGATGAGATTTTTCACAAGGCCTTAGAATTGATGAGCTTTTTGACAAGCAATGAGATTTTTGACAACAGTCAAAACGCCCCCCTTTAGCTCTTGGTTAGTCTGTTTCTATAAAAGGCGTGGGTTTTCCCACTTTTCTCTTCTTCTTTCTTCTTTCTTCTTTCTTCTTTCTTTTTTTTTTCTTCTTCTTTTTTTTGTCATATATGTCAATTGGATATCCTCCCCTACCTCAACACGTCCCTGCAAATAGATATTCTCCCAGAGCTACTGACTCTTCCTCCAAACACCACCAAGCTTCCGTTATTGACCCTCTCATCATGTAAATATTATATATTGTAAAAAAGACACTCTATACATTTATTCTAACTCTTTATGTTTTAACAAAGCCTTGCACTTTTAGTAACTGAAAATACAAAACAGATTGCAAACACTCTCATCTCTATCCCACTCTTTACATCTGTAAGTACCTCCAGTCTGGGTCTTCTCCAATTGACTAGCCCCCGTTAACTTTTTAGAAATCAAAAAAAAAGTCTCACTCAGTCACACAAGTCTCTATGTTCTTTCCTCTTGTCACTTTTATTCTCTTTTCACTTTTTTCCATCGCCATTCTCGGCGTCTTTTGGACTTCCATGGCTGTCATTCTCCTAGCCCCAGTCCTTGTTGGTGTTACTGTCTTTTCAATCAGCTTTTACGCTACATACTATGTTTCACGTAGGGTTTATAACAAGTACGGAAAATCTGCAGTGAATAAAAAGTTGACTCTTCTTGGTATCCGCAAATCAAAACCCCCTGCCTCGTCTGCTTCTGAAACAACCTCTGTCAAATCTCTACCCAATGGCACTAATACTACCTGGTCCCGTGCATCCCAGCTAGTTAATAAGATTGCTCCCGGTCGGATTGTTCAAGGTGACAAGGACAAGGCTACAAACAAGAAGAATTGGTGGAAATTTGTAAATAAGATGGATGCTACGGTATACATGTCGGAAGGTGAACGCGATGAGTTCTACCGCCGTGTGAATGAGGTCCGCGAACGTCGCCAGAATGCTCGCAAGGTTGCTGAGGATTCGTTTTCTGACATTAAGGATGAATCAAGCCGCATTGTTGAAGATGCAGAAGACAAACCTGCTGAAACTCCCGTTGCCAACATTCTCACTCCAGAAGTTGTGGGTTCTGCCCCATCCAATTATGACGAGGAACAAACTCAGGAGGAAGAAGAAGAAGAAGATGGCGAGGGCGATGAGGGTTATGGTGAAGGTGTCCCTCCTTATCAAGAGGATGGCACCATGTCTCAAGGTGCCTATTAATTTTGATATCATGAATTTATGTTTTTTATATTTTATTTTTGGATGTATTGCTTAGTTTTTTTTTTTTAAATGGTAAGATGAAATATAGTGCTATTGACCATGCTAGGTGTCATATTCTCGTAAACTGAAAATATGGGGTATTTGATGCTAGCTTCTTCTTCAAATGGTCGAACATTGAGTGTTGTGCTTTCCAGTACCTGTGTAAGAAACCCATTGGATATCTCAGCTTGTGATCCGAACCGGCGTATATCACCACGTAGCATACTCAGCATTTCCTCATACATAGGGCCAGGATGACTTGTTTGCATGCACCAAAATCCAGGATCTGCATGCCAGTTGATTTCCAACCGACGTTTAAACGCCACTATGCTAGGAGAAAATACTCCTCTGGTATTTCTGCGGGATCGACCAGGGGCCTTGACAAACAGCTGAAGAATCTGTGGCAAAGCATTTTTCCCTTGCCCTATGCCTTGATTAAGTGCAAACGCACTGCGTAGCAGCATATAAACAGCTGTTATGGCATACAACTGAAACGAATCAGGGAGGCACACAAACCGCAGTGTAGATGCGCAGTTGATACAGAGGTTTATCAAGCCGCGGTTTAAGGCACGAGCTGAAGAGCCTGGGTTCTCGCCAAATAATGGCCATGTATGTGAGAATTCAGATGGAGTTATACTGGAACCATGAACAAGCCATTGCGCCAGCACATAAGCGTCCAGGGTATTTTCGCAATTTTGCGAGTGAATGTTTGGTTGTGTCAAATCATTACTGCTCACACGACCGTGTTGATAGTCCCAATTTTCAACAACAAGTACCTCCAGCAGTGGGCAATGAGCTGGCAAAACTTCAAGTACACGAGCAGGGAGTGCTGAAACAACAAGTTGTACAAGAGCTGGTGTAAGGAGTGGAACAAGTACGTTTGTAAGAACTATTTCGCTTTGACGAGTGGCTCTTCTAGGCACAGGTGGCCCGCGCAGCATAAGTGCTAACAGTCGGTCTTCTTCAAGAATATCGTCATCCATATCACTTCCATCTGTGAAAAAGGACCCAGCTGTACTGTTACTGCTCGTCATACTCTCCATGTCTGCGTCCTCGTCCACCAACCACTCGTCATCGCCGCTAGGTGGTAATACCCATTGAGGCACCCAGACTTGAACAGCAGTCAGTCCTTGTGCCCATGGGCCTGTGTATTGCGTGCGAGTAAGTAAGTTGTTTGTTTCTAAACTGTTTGCAGGAGTGTGTGTTGCCGACGGGGGGGTATATGAAGATGTCAATATGGCCATGTATTGTTCGTGTGACACATTGACAGATAATTGGGTCAGAGAACCAGGTTCTGTTGCACCTGAGTTCGAGTTAAAAAGTTGAGGGAAAAAGGTATTAAGTGTTAGAACTTCAACAGAAGATGGAATCATGGCCGGAGTAATGAAGCTGCAGAAACTGTTTGGTAATGAAAGCTCACGCAGTCGAGCAAACGGTGGAGCTCCAGTGCTTCCTTGTTGGCTATGCACGAGTGATGACCACAGAGGTGCAGCCACAGGAGCAATTGCGGTAGATAATGCTTCAGGTGTGAGGTTATGATGTTGATCATTCATGGTCACATCGCCATGTATCGGTGTTATATCGTAATATGCATCACATAATGAAAGTGTTTCAAGACTACTCATTTCGCGGAAAGCCACGTTTAAAACCCACGCAGCAAGCGACGTATTAGGAGTTCGAGAAACTGCAAGATCATGGAATGGTACAGATATGTTGAGTGTACGAACCTTGGAAAGAACCCCAGGCTCACCCCAAAGCCAGCCAAGGGTATCTCCACCAGTATTAAAAAGATCGATACCAGCCCCATGTGTTTGCAAATTGCCCCGCAGGCACTCTCCCAAAAACCTTGCGACCCGCAATTGTTCCACCCGATACAGGGTTCGCTCCGCCGTTGCTCGGGTAAAATCAAAGGTATCATCATCATCCTCATCTTCTGCACCCTCACCCTGGCCATTGTGTGTTTGCACGCCTAGCGTGTCACTAACATAGACATTGCGCAAGCGTGTGAATGAAGGCAACGGGCCAAGGGTCTCGTCACCGCCTGCGACTGGAAACATGCTGTGTGAGTAGCCGCCAAGCGGAAGTGTAAGCGAGCAAATACTATCAGTACACCATTTAGTGAGTTTGCGGTCATAAAATAGTTTTAAAAACTTGCGGCCATTGCACACGTAGCGAGGTTCATCAACCGATTCTGGCGGCGCACTAGTCTCGAGTTGTGAGGAGGATATCCGATCACCATGGAAAACAGTTCTGTTCACACTTGTGCGTTGGCCCGGCCATGACGATTTGTTTGTTAGTGAGGTGGGGTATAATGCCGCCAGCAGCGACTTTTTGTTATCAGAAATACCCGTGTAAATTGGTCGTGTAAGGTCAAGCTGTGTATACGAGTTAGAGACAACTGGAGTTACATAACTGACTCGCGGGCCCTGAGAAGCCGCAGAAGCAGCCCCAGTGGTTGAGGATGTAGATCTTTGAGTAGATCCGTGTGCAAGTGTGGGAGCGCCTGCGTTCCCTGGGGCTGTTTCACTATCGTATTGGATCTGTACCCAGCGATAAGCCCAGAGATCAATATCTGTATTGCAAGTGACATCTTGAGAAAAGCTAGGGACATTGTTGCAGACGGTAAAAATGGCTGGGTCCTCGAGGTGCACATGGTTCCAAAGCACGGGATACGCGACCGCACAGAGATGCTTGCATGTAAGGGCCAAGGCAAGAAGATCCTTTGCGGGACTGGCGCTGCTTGATGAGGAATCTGGGACTGCCAGCGACAGGGCCACCAGGCGCAAGATGTCCTGTGGCAGTGTCAGAATAGTCATTTAAGATGATAATGAGAGCAGTAAGGGGGGAGGGAGGGAGGAAAGGTTTTCTATACAGTCAAGACGAAAAAAAAAAAAAAAAAAAAAAAAAAAGGGGGGAATAAAAAAAAAAAAAAAGAAAATTTGGGACGATTTCTAAGGGGACGTCTTCTACCGAGCATTATTTATATATATATAATACCACAGAAGATAAAAGGGAATTTCAATCATTTGGAAGTAACGGAATAATCTATTTTGTCGTATTTCATTAATTAATAGTGGGACCTGAATGTTCATCCAAAGCCTTGGACATATATATATATAAGATACAAGTACCAAATAAATTATATTATACTATTGTAGTGGGGCGAAATAATTATTATTTATTAGGTTTATTTATTTTTTATTATTTTATTTTTTTATTATTTTAAGGCTTCAATTGCTTAGGGGTCCAAATGGGCTTGATGTGGTCATAGCCAGGTTGAGCAACACCGCAACGGCCGCCCTTCTTCTCCCAATCCTTGATACGATCAAGACCAAGAGTATCAAAAGTCTCGTCAAGAGCCTTGATCAAGTGATCAGAAAGCTCCTTGTTGTGTCCTGGAGTAGGGGTGATGCGCAAGCGCTCGTGACCAATTGGCACAGTAGGATAGTTAATGGCCTGGACATAAATGCCATACTTTTCCAGAAGCATATCAGAAGCTTCCTTGGCCTTTTCTGCATTACCAACAAGCACAGGAACAATATGCGAAGGATTGGGGACAACGGGGATACCACGCTCACCAAGCTCACGCTTGACGTAGGCGGTGTGGGCCTGTTGCAGGATACGCTCCTTAAGAGAAGACTTTTGGTAGTCAATGGCAGCGTTGGCACCGGCCATGACGGCAGGAGGCAAAGAAGTGGTAAAGATGAAACCAGGAGCGTATGAACGGATCCAGTCAATGAAGTTCTTGGAGCCGGCAACGTAGCCACCCATGCAGCCAAAGGCTTTGCCCAGGGTACCGGTAATCATGTCAACACGGCTCATGACATCACGGCGAGCAGAGCCGTCAGTGTTTGTGGAAACAAGATTCTCAGGGTTGCAGTTAGAGTCGTGGTACTCAAAGTCGAGGTGCTCGGCAACACCGGCACCGCGTGGGCCGTACATGCCGACAGCATGGACCTCGTCAAGGAAGGTCAGGGCACCGTACTTGTCGGCAAGGTCACAGATGGCCTCAATGGGAGAGATGTTGCCAGACATGGAGTAGACACTTTCAAAGGCAATGATTTTGGGCTGGGACTTGGGGTACTTTGCGAGCTTGGCCTCGAGGTCGGCAAGATCATTGTGTTTCCAGATGACCTTTTCAGCGCCAGAGTGGCGGATACCCTCAATCATGGAAGCGTGGTTCATTTCGTCGGAGAAGTAGACACAGTTGGGGAACTTTTTGCCGAGAAGAGCAAGAGTAGCATCATTGGCAACGAAGCAGGAAGTAAACACAAGAGCAGCTTCCTTGCGGTGGAGATCAGCAAGAGAAGCCTCAAGTTTGAGAGCGTGCAGGTTATGGCCAGCAATGTTGCGGGTACCACCGGCACCAGCGCCGTACTTGTCAATAGTAGAGTGCATGGCTTCGGTCACAACAGGATGCGAGCCCATGCCGAGGTAGTCATTAGAACACCAGACGGCTACTTCTTCAGACTCGGTGGCACGGTGAGCATGAGGGAACTTTTTAGCCAGACGGTTGATGTTGTTGAAGTAGCGGTAAGACTTGTCCTGGTGCTTACGTTGAAGATCTGATTCGTAGAGCTTTTCGTAGTTGAAGGGAGCTTGTTTGTCATCAAAGGCTGGAGTTTTGTTTGCAGAAGTAGCAGTAGCAGTAGCAGTGGCAGAACCAGCGGTCTTTTTGTTGACGGGGATTTCAATAAACTCCTTAGAGATTTCGACCTCGCGAACAGTGGAGTAAGATCTGGAGTGAGGGGCCTTAGATTCTTGGATTTCCATGGCATGACCCATGATTGGGCATCCTCTAGCGACGGACGCGATGGTGGCCTGGGACGAAAGTCGCTTCAGGGTAGAGGTAGAAGTCTTGTGAAGAAAGGGACACAAGGCCTTTGATTGTCTTGCAAGAGATTCCATTGTATTGGATTAAAAGGTTGAGTAAAGAATAGAGAGTTCCAAAAAAAACAAAGAAATATATATATTTATATAAAATAAAATAAAATAAAAATAAAAAATTTAATTTAATATTTATGGGTGGGAAATGGTGGATATTTATTTACTTGGAATTATGTGCCTTTAGACTGTTGTTTGTATATGTCAGCACTTTGGGAAAATTTCATTTCAGGAAAAAAAAATTTTTTTCTATAATCTTTTCCATCTCTCTTCCTACAACAACCGTTTTTTTTTAAGAGAGAGAGAGAGAGAGAAGGAAAAAGGGCTAATTTATTTAACGTGCAAATCTCTTTTCCCAGCCAACCAAGGTCCATGGATGTAGCCACCACCACTACCACCATTGCCAAATAATTCAAAATACTGAATTTCGAAACCCTCTCGGTCACTAAGAAGATCGGGTACCACGGGTACTGTGGTGTAGTACACAGCCAATGGAACTGCGCTGTTTTCAAATTCTGCTTGAGTGAAAAGTCAATTTGAGGGGTTTTATTGGCTGGATGGCGTTTCTTATGCGAGAATTCCGAATTCCAATTGTAATTTCAAATTCCTAGAATGCCCTAAAAGACCAAAAACAGAAATATGACTAATTTTATTCTAATAAATTATGTCATCTACCATCGTATATAATCGTTTTAACAGCGCCTTTTTTTTTTTTTTTTTCAATACTTCATTCTTTTTTTTTTCAAAACCAAACCCCGTAGAAACAGTCATTTGAATCTCATCTATGTATATATATATATATATACCAAAGATATAAATCAAAGTAATTTATCAAAGATTATCAGATATTTTTTTTTTTTTCATTATTGGTTTTATATTATTTTTTTTTGTTAATATTTAATTGTAAAAGAAAAAAGAAAAAAAAAGAAGACATTTCAGCAAGTTAAACACATATTTATAACACAAGATTTAAAAAAAAAAATTATACAAATCACCCCAAATACCATTTCTGATTCCCTTTTGTTTAAGAGTTCATATAAGTAGAAGCATCAATGCCCTCCTCAGGGAATGGAGAAATGTTAACTTCGAACCGGGACTGAATCGAGTCCAGAACCTGCTGGTCCTCCTCGGTTGAAACAAACGACACCGCAAGACCCTTGGTACCAAAACGGCCTGCACGACCAACACGGTGGAGGTACTGATCAGCATTATCAGGCAGATCGTAGTTAATAGCCAAGTTGATGCGCTCAATATCAATACCACGGCCAAAAACATCAGTAGCAACGCAAATACGCTTCTCAAAAGTCTTGAAGGATTTGTATCTAGCAATACGCTCCTCCTGAGGGATACCACTGTGCACAGCAATTGAGGGGAAGTTGCACTCATTCAACAGACGATTCAACTCGTCGGCTCTCTTGGTCGACTTGACAAAGATAATCACCTGATTGAACTCAAGTGTATCCAAAATTTCATTGAGCTTGCGGTTCTTCTCGCGCTCAGCAAGCTTCACATAGTACTGCTGCAGACCGTGAAGAGTCAGCTTAGTCTCATCGTCAACGTAAATCTCCAGGGGGTTCTGCATAAACTTCTTGCAAATGGGGCGAATCTCCTGAGAAAGAGTAGCTGAAAACATCATAACCTGCTTCTGGTGGGGGGTAGAGCGGAAAATCTCCTGAACGTCACGACGCATATCGGGCTGTTCCAAAACCTTGTCAGCCTCATCAATAACAAAAGTCTTGATGTTGCTAAGACGAAGGAACTTGTCACGGACAAGAGCATTCAATCTACCAGGAGTACCAACAATAATGTGGGGACAGGTAGTCTTGTCCTTAATCAGAGCAATATCCTTGGCAATTGGGGTACCACCGTAAAAGACAGAGGTTCTAACGTCGGGCAAGTACTTAGAGAAACGAGAGTACTCATTCTTAATCTGGTAAGCCAACTCTCTGGTGTGGCACAAAACAATAACAGAAACCTCGCCGTCAACAGGCTCAATCTGCTGTAAAGTAGAAAGAACAAAAACAGCAGTCTTACCAAGACCAGACTTAGCCTGACAAAGAACATCAGTACCAAGAATAGATTGGGGAATGCAAACCTGCTGGACTAAAAAAGAATGTTAAAAAAATGTAAAAAAAAATACAATGTTTTCAAACTTACCTTCAGAAGGATGCTCAAAACCACTGTCAGTAATGGCACGGACAAGCTCAGGCTTGAGTAAAAAGTCCTTGAAACCAGTGGAATGGATACCAACATATGAACCCTTCTTGTCGCCATTCTCCTGCTTAATGGCCAAGCCGTCTTCAGCGGCCTGAGCAGTACCCTCAGTGGCAGCAGCAGGAGCAGTTGCGGTGGAGGCGGAGACAGTGATATCTTCGCTATCAGAGTAGTCGAGGAGTTCTTCTTCACCTTCGTGGGACATTTTGAGCTATTGTGAGTATAGGTTGTTGAACAGCTGCTAGAATAGTTCGAGGTCGACGTGTTAGAAGATATAAAAAAATTTACAAATTAAAAAAGAAATAAATTTCACAATTCTCCACCCGTGTTAGCCATAGAATAGAAGAAAAGAAAATGAAGCGAGCCAATCGTTTCTGTTGAAAGAAAAAAAAAAAGAAAAAAAAGTGCATAGTGTCGACATCAATAGCCTTTTAGTTGAACAATTGACTGAAATAAAACAACATTGACTGAAAAAAATAAAAATGCCTTAAATCTCTAAAGAGATGAAATGAATTTTACACTGTGTGCGCGGTTTATCGATATGAGGAGAAGGGGGGAGGGGGGAATATTTAGTATGAATAAAGAGTAGAAAAGAATATATATATTCAATCCTCAGAAAAAAAATCGCCACTGTGTAATGATGCTAAAAAAATTTCAGCAAAACTGAAAAATCTTTTTAAAAGCACATCGCGATGCCAATCCATCATGCATTAAACGTCAAACAGTTGATCCGGCAAGCTTCTATTGTTTAGACGCGTTAAAGCTGTGGAAATTGCTCATTCATGGTGTTGTCATGTGTTTTTGTTTTCTTTTCAATGAAAAAAAAAAAAAGTGGCCATCTTTTCAAAAATTCAATTTTTGACAACGACGTGCATTTCACGAAATTTTCAACAATGTTTTATTTCTTTTTCTTTTTAATTCAAAAAAAAGTGAATTCCTTCATCGAAAGTGATTGAATCGAAAGGTTGGCTTCATTGAATGCTTCTTATTCTTCTGTTTTACTCCCCTTTTATTGATTGAACGTACAAGAGAAACGAACAAACGAGGGGAGCAAAGGGGCTGGCAAAAGGGTGGATCATTGGAAGAAAAAGAAGAGCAACACGAGAAGAAGGGAGATCTGTTACCGCATACTTATTAAGTGACTAGGCCGGAGGTATGAGTTTGCTGAGACTCGTGCTGTGGCTTTTTTTTTTTTTTTTGAATGGATTTTCAAAAAGAGCTTTTGAAAATTGTGGGTTAATAAAAAAATATGGTGATGTTAAAAAGAAGAAAAGGAATGAAGAGAGAGAAAATTCAAGAAGGGGGATGGCAACTATGACAGAAAAAAAAAAGATTTTCCATGTGTATTACATGAAACTTTTCAGTATGAAAAGTCTGTTACAATGCATTTTCTGGTGGTAGTGAACTTTTTTAATGGAACTCATTTGTAACAAATAGTTACCCGGTCTTTCTTTACAGTTTTACAAAAATAACAAAACAGCTTGACCTGAATATCAACTTTTCTTTGAGAAAAATAGACCTTTGGAAATCCATTATTTAAATTATAGTATTTTTTTTAACAATCTGATAAATTATTTATATATTTATATGGTTCAACTATTGAAAAAAATATGTATATATTCTTCAAAAGACTTTAAATGATCTTCTTCAGTTAGCAATATATACCAACCATTGTAGAGTTAGCTTCCTCGAACCCAGCCCCCCAGGGTTTTTTGGATAAATATGTTTAGAGTGCTTAGTAAAAGTTAACGTATTTCTTTTTATTATGGTAACTAAATAGCATAAACATATGAACGCTTTACTCCCCAATAAGTGATTTTCAGCCGCGGCGTTTCTAGGCATAACACAGCAACCAACCCAGCCAGCCAGACAATCCAGCCCAGCCTCCATAAAGTGGGCCAGCAGTATTTACCTAAAACAGTAAATACATACTGCATACATCGTGCAAAAAAGCCATTGATATAATTATTTTTTTTAATATCAGAAATGACAATCCAGCTCAATTCATAAGCTCAAAAAAAAAAAAAAAAATAAAGGAAAGGGCGTATGAATTTGCACCATTAGCAATTCATTAAAAAATTATACAAGGGATCACCTTTGGCGGCTGCTACTATACCGTTTATCTGGGGGGTTGCTGCAGTACAAGCTGTTTCTTTTTTTTTTTTTTTAATTTTGATGACTCGTGTATATGTACAACCAGGGCAGAACCAGCCAGTTTACAAAAGGTCTCTTGATTTGAAAATTTGAACTATATAAATATCTCTATATCATCTTGCTTACTATATTTTTTACTTCTCTTTTTTTTTTTTCTATTTCTTTTTTTTTCTCCCTAAAAGAACACCTTTTTTTTTCCAACTTTCACACTCAATTTCATTACTTTTCTCCCGCTACCCTTCCCTCTTATCCCCCAAAAATGATTGTCAAATCTGTCGCCTCTGCCCTGACAATGGCCTCAATCGCCTCTTGCTCAATGCTGGACTTTGGTGGTATTTTTAAGCGTGCCACTCTCCCAGACAGCTTTTACGGTACCGTCTCTAGTTCAGTTGCCCCATACAATGGCGATTTGAGCGTTGTTGCCAGTTTTTTCGGTAACTCCGACTCAGCTACTGCGACGACTACAGGTGCGGCTCAAACCACTTCCAAAGGAACTATTGTTACAATCAGCAGCCAAGTTCCAACTCCATCTTCATCTTCATCAACAATCATCTGGTGGACCCCGGAAACAACATCTACACCTACTTCAACCTCAAGCATCGTATGGTGGACCCCAGAATCCGCATCTACTTCTACCTCTTCAGTAGTCAATCTCTGGACCCAATCTAGCAATGCACAGACCACTTCTAGCAGTCAATCTTCTAGTGTCTCGGTCGCCCCCTACACTGCCAACTTGACTCAATTCTACCTGGACTATTTTAGCTCCAGATACTACTACGTCAACCAGTACGCAACCTTCTTCCAGACTCACGTCTTTTCTGAAATTGGCACTGAATCTGCAAAGCTTTCCGGCTTCTTGACTTATACCGATAGCAGTTACACTACCCTTCTTTCCAGTGATCCTCAGCTCACTTCGGCCCTTTCTAACGCAGCGACTCAATTCCCTTGGTATACTCAATGGTACCAAGCCCAATATTTGGCTTATGAAGCCACAGCCACAGCTGTGAGTTCCCAATCTTCTTCCATAACCAGCTCTTCTTCGGCTGGTGTATCTTTTGGTGGTAGCTTGGAAAAGGATAAGATGAGAGTCTTGACACTTCAGATTGGTGCCATTATTGCCGCCTTGGTCTATTTGTTTATTTTCTAAATCAACTGGTTATTGTTTGGTTTAGACTTTGGGTTTTCCTTAAAAAAAAAAAAAAAAAACTGGCGATCGGACGCCTAAAATATTTACTGGGTTATTTTTTTATCGGTTCATTATTCCTTCACTTTTGCGGGTCTCATATTCATTAGATTTTTGTTAATTTTTTTTGTTAGATTTTGTTAAATATAATTTTTCTTTTTGTAAATTTCATTACACCTTAAGGGACGGTCTGTTCTTGACAAACTTCTCAAGATCTTCCTTTGTAGCAACACCAAGGACAAAGCGTCTATCTTCATCTGTCACAATTGCAAATTCTTCGCCTGATGCAAAAAACTCCTCAAGCTTTTCCAATGGTGTAAAAGGGGTAATCTTGAAAAACTCGCGGTCCTCGCCATCAGCCTTGGCAGGCTTCTTGGGCCCAAAAAAGCGAATGAAGTGGTTCTTGACCAGGTCATTGGGTGTCGAAGACTTTTCGCTGGCGTTTTGCAAAAGATCTGCTGTGAGGTATCCTAATAATCGCTTGTTCTTGGTCGAAACAACAGGGAGATAAGAGTATTCGCGCTCATAAGAAACCTCTAGGGCTTGTTTCAAGGGAGTCTCAGGGGAAATGGTCAAAGCTGGTAAAAGATCCAGGTCTTCAGTAGTAGCCTAAACATAGAAGTTAATATCATGCGGTAAACGGTAGTTTCAAAAAAAAAAAAGAAAAAAAACAACTACCTACTCCACGATAATCAATAGTCATTGTTTTATTTTTCTTAATTTATTTTGTTGCTTGAAGAGCTTGGTGATTGATCGATTTAAAAAAGAACTCTAAAAGATGAACGGCGTGGCGGGGTTTGTTTTAAAAAAAAGTTTTAATGGGGTGAAAAGGCGGTGATGTGGTTTTTTTTTTTTTTTTTTTTTTTTTTTTTTGATTTTGGTGGTGGGTTGTTAAAAAAATCCTTAATTTTTTTTTCTTCTCTTTACCTTTCCACACATCGGCTCTTCCATACATCGCCGTACTCAATACCATTATCTACCCGTTTTCATATATCATAAATGTCATTAAATAAAGATGATCCTATGCAATCGGCGATTGCACCGCCAAGAGGCGACACAATAGATTTTTACCAGGACCTAAACAAGGTCACACTAGTGTCTGGAACATCTGCAGTAGGCAAGCGTGGCAAAGGTGTCGGCTTCTACTGTGAAGCCTGTAACTTGACATTTAAAGACAGTATTCAATGGATAGACCATATAAATTCCAAGCAACATCTTTACAACACTACCGGTAGCACAGACCTAGATGCTACTAATGCCAAGATTACTGTTGAAGACGTCAAGGCACGACTAAAGTACTTAAAGGAAAAACAAGAAAGGGATTTAAAAGAATCTGGAATGGAGTTTAATCTGGAACAGCGGATAGCACAGCGTCAAAAGTTTGAACAGGAGGAAGCAGATAGGAAACGCAAAAAAAGAATTGAGAAGAAGAAAAGACAACGCGAGTCGAAAAAACGCAAAAGAGACGAGCCAGCAAGTGAGCCGAATGACATGCAGGCCATGATGGGCTTTTCTGGCTTTGGGAGTACCAAAAACTAGTCTATTTAGATTTCTTTTACAATCGATATTTACAACATATTGGGGTGATTTAAGAAAAAAAAAAGAAAAGGAACAAGAGAAACAAAAAGAAAACGAGAAAAATCACCTTTAAATACCGAGACGGTCTTGGAGAACACCCTTAACTTGGGAATACACATTCTCGACCGGCTGGTCGCAAGGGATTCTAAAGACCTTACCGGACTTGTCAAAGTACTCAATGACAGGCATGCTGGTATCAACAAAGGTATGGAAGCGCTTCTTGATGGACTCAACATTATCATCTGTTCTACCGCTGGTCTCACCACGCTTAAGCAGGCGTTTGAGCATAACTTCCTCGGGGCATTCAAAAAACAAGGTAAAGCGGGAAATGCACACATCGTCTTCAAAGATAAGGGCCTGGTCCATTTTTCTAGGGAAACCGTCAATAAGGAAACGAACAGGACCCTCTTCGATAGCAGCATCAGGGTCTTCATCAAGACGCTTGATAATAGCATCACGCATGGCGTTTCTCAACAATGCAATGGTGACTTCCTGGGGCACAATCTTACCCTCCTTGATGTAGTTAGAAATCAATTCACCGTACTGAGAACCTTCTCTAGCTTGTTCGGCACGGAGTAAGTCACCAGCAGAGAGATGAACAAAGTTGTAGTCACGGACAAGGTTAGCGCATTGAGTACCCTTTCCGGAACCGGGACCACCAAGAACAAAAATAACAAGAGCTTCTTCCGGAGTGAATGCAGTTTTCTTGTGCATAATTCTAGCGCGCTTCTTAATAGCCTCGTAGTCTTCCTCGTTGAAATCACGGGGCTTCTTCTTGCGAACGTTTTTCTCGGCCCAAACGAACCCTGCAGTACCCAAGATAACAAGAAGAACAATGTATCTAAATTTAGGACCTTCGTCGCGAGGGGTTGGCTTGGTTTGAACGGAGTAGGAGCGCTGGGAAGTGCGAATAATCGTCTGTTTGGCAGTGGGTCTGACAAAAGCATGTGCCAAATTTCTCGAAGCCAATGGGTTGCCGGCCTTTGCAATCGTACTGATGCTTGCGGCTCGAGCAAAAGCTGGGGCAGCAGCTGTTGCAGAAGTGCGGCCAGTTAGCGAAAGAAGTCTAAGAGAAGAGCGAGAAAGCATATTTGTTTGATGAAGATATATATATATAAAGAAGGAAGAGTAAATATCAAGAGAATATAGGAAAGGAAGAAGAAAAGAAAAGAAAAGAAAAAAAAATCAGTTCAGTTCCTACACACGTTTTGTCAAAGTAGGCCTTTGCGATCCCGAAGGGAGGTTTCGGGGATGTAAGGGCTGGGGATTTTTTTTCTGAATAAATAACCAAAAAAAAAAAAAAAATTGGGTGATCTTGTTAGTCAGAAGTAACTAATCATGACATAATATTTATTGTTTGAAAATTTCACTCTGCCCAATGGAATTCTCAACCACCAAAAAAAATTTACACACCGCCAAATTTCCCTCTTTTTTCTTCCCCTTTTTTTCAATCACCACCACCACCACCACCCAGTGTCGTCGTCGTCACCACCGCCTCCCGTCACAATGTCTCTCGTCAACTTAGCAAACGTTTGCTCGCACATCCAGAATGTTACACGCGTTAACAAATCGTTGACCTCTATTCCTTACACCAAGCTGCATCTCCAAGTTGCTCTTGGTCTCTACCGTGAAGGTTTCATATCGTCGATCCAGCGTGGCTCGCTGACTGGTCCCGACCAGACCTTTACTCCTGCAACCTATGATAACATTTCTACTCGCAGACTTTGGCTTGGCCTTAAATACCACAATACTAAGCCAGTTATTTCAAAAATGTCTCTTATCTCAAAACCAAATAGACGAATCAGCCTCGATGCCCACCAAATCAAGAAGCTGCTTGACGGTACATCTGTCCGCCACGTTCCTACCCCGCAGCTCGGGGAGGCAATCTTTGTCAAGACCGATATTGGCGAGGTTGTTGAGATCCAGGAGGCTGCTCGTAGAGAGCTTGGTGGTGAACTGTTATTAAGAGTTCACTAAATTATCTCACTCACTACTCATTTTGACGATACCACTTTAATGACAACCAAGAGATGTAATAGTCTCAAAAGAATACATTTGCTATTCTTCAAAAGAAGATTGAGTCTTCTTTTTGATTTGATTTGATTTTTCCCTCTTTTTTTTTAACTTTTTTTTTATTTTCCCATGTGTAAATATATCCGTGTAAATAACGATAGAATGTAACTTCTTTTTTCTCCCATTTCTTCATTTCCTATTTAAATTGCAAAGACTGGTCCAACTCCTAGGGTTCTCCAGCCTCTCATATCAACCTGCCAGCCCTTCCAGCGGTCCATTTCTTGGTTGATATTGCGGATCTTGCTCACATCGCCGTACAGGTCCATTTCTGCAAAGGAGGCAACCCGTGGCTGCTGCCCCGCATTGTACCGTGCAGCATCTCCACGAGTCTCCAAAACTGGAGAGCTCAGTGACGCAATATCGCTATCAAAATCTGACGTATCACGCGCAAAATCAATGGCATTCTTCTTGTTTGTCGATAGCAAGTTGGCAACTCTGGCTTCCAGAGTGTATACCTTGTCACTAAGGAAATTGTTTTCAACTTTGAGCGATTCAATTTGCAATGTAAGTTTAGAAACTTCTTCAGGGCTCTCAGATACAGGACTTGTAACCTCACTTGGTATGCTCTTGACTTGTGGGCCAGGACCCTCTTCTGAAAACTGTTCTAATTGTGACTTGTATGTCGACACCTCCTTTTGCAGTTGTTCAATTGTAGTAGTGGCCTGTTCCAGCTTCTCTTCCAGTTCTTTGATGCGTTTTTCTGATTCCTCCTGCTGTTCCTTAATGGTATCTGTATTACTGGCTGTTTCAGCTGGTTCTGTAGTAACAGGACTGATATTAGTGCTGTTAGTTGTATCTTCCTCAGAGTCTTTTCCAACATCCGTGACTGTTTGGTCAGGATTCGGCGATTTAGTTACATCTTCAGTCACAGATTCAGAGTCTGTTGTAGGCTGTGATGTTTCTGTTTTCTTCTTATTCTTCTTTTTTTGTTGTTTCTTTAGTTCTTGAAGCTGGGATCATGTTAGACATTAGTGTATTTAGGTTGTAATCTTTCTTTTACTTACTCGTTTCTTAGCTGATGCTAATCTGGCAGCCTTCTCAGCCTCTTCATCAATCTCAGGTTTGGGAGATTCGACAGTTTCTGGATCTTTTTCAGTATCTGACATTATGGTTGTTGTTTATTTTATTGATATAAAGGGGTGAAGATGTCGGGGAATGATTGTCTTCAAACTAAGGACGCGCGTGTCTCTTCAGCTTGTGTGCCCTGAATCAACATTGGGCAGGAATGACTAATTTATGACAAATAACATTAGGTAAAATATTTGTAATTTATGAGTTGGTTTGATCTTTTTTTTTTTTTTTTTTTTCTTCTGCCGCATACCGCGGTTTAAAAGCTGTAAAGAAAAAGCGGATTTTTTTCTTATTTTCTTTCTTCTTCCTTTTTAATTTTCCTATTGTGTCGTCAACAACCATTAATTTTGTCGAGTCGACTTCCGACCTAATTATATTTACAGGTATGTAAATACACTAATTAAACCTTTCATTCATTATTATATTTCCTCATTACTAATTTTTAATAGCATCCGTATTTTACTTGAACAGCAAAAATGACCAGAGGTAACCAGCGTGAAAAGGCCCGTGAAAAGAACCAAAAGAAGAAGGATGCCGAGAAGAAGAAGCAGGAAGGTGATCCTCGTAAGCGCATGGAGGCCCACGCCAACATTATGAGAGAAAAGCAGAAGCTTGGTATGTGGACCATGAAATACTTTTTGTGCTAACTTGTGTTATATTCATATGCTAACCTAGATTATGTTTAATAGCTGCTGAAAAGAAGGCTTCCGAAGAGAAATAAATTGACCAGAGCCTGACAGAACCAAAAAAAAAAAAAACATTAACTTGATGTGTAGTTAGCCATCAGATACTTTTCTTTATTACGCGAACCATGACTGAATGAATTTAAATTACTATTTTTTAAAAAAAAAATTTTTTTCCCACTTTAATACATCCTATCCAAGTACTGCTATATTTTAAAAGCGATTGATAATTCATCACTGATAATCATTCATATTGAGAATAATTATTCTTATCGATATTATACCTTGTTTACTTAAACTCTGATCTAGCTCCTGTGATTGGTTGCTATTTAAAAGAAAGATGATGGGTGCTGTGCTACATTAATTTTGTAAAGTAGTTTGGTGTTCTTTTTTTTTTTTTTTTTTTTTTTACAGACCCGGCCACTGAAATGCGGCAAATTTTCACGAAAGATGATTCACAGAACAATGAGCCTGTGTTCCGGAGAGTATAATACAATAAGCATGATTTTATTTTATTTTTTTTTTTTTTTCATTTTTCATTTATTTTTAATTTTTTAGTTGTTCTAAGACATTTCTAGAGTGGAGATAGCAGCGCTTTAGTACCTGTAGAAGGCGTGGCTTTTTTAATAAATTAAAACAAATGGTGATTGATTTCGTGTGATATTTGAATATCTTTCACTTAAATTACAAAATGATTTGTACAAGTTTAGAGATTTGTTTATTGCCACTTATAATTTAAGATACCCTTAGTATTATCAAAGATAATCATGACTATGGAAGATATATGACGCTTTTTGAAATAAGTGATGCCAAAATTGGCGATATAGTTTGAGGAGGAATATACATGGGTACTGAAAGAGGCTGGAATTTATAGAATCTTAAAGATATTGATACTTTATACGAATTTAAGGGTCATTCGATGGCTATGTTACCTTTCTTATATTTGTTTTGACTGTAAAATATTGCGAATAAATAAAAAAAGTACCCATAGTATGAGATATGTTTTTTGTTCCGCATAGCCAAATTTTCTTTCCTAATGTTAAAACGAATGGAAAGATATTTTGCATACAAATACAATATTGGATTAAAGGTGGTCCTAAGCTTAAAGTGATACCTAAAAACCACTATTATGTGAAACATTCTAACTTGTGAAAGCTTTTGATATTAATATTTTAAGATACAGTGGTATTAGCATTGAAACCTAAATATATATCTCCAAATAATTGATTTTCTTAATGGAATGTTTTTGAAAATTAAAAATTATCTTGTGAGATTAGTTTCTGGTGTTACGCGGAAACAAATTGTGAGAAATACCTAATGCAACATGTTTGTGGCCACCACTTGAAACCTAATGAACCTATCCAGATTTTTTTTTCAGACTTTCTTACTGTTCATGAAAATGTATAATTTCAAAAAATGGGCATTAAATTTAAAGGAACATGAACTCACTTCTGTTTTTTTTTTTTAAAAAATATACCTTTTTGGGAAGAAGTCAGGCACTTGATTAGGATTTTTTTTTTTTGGCTCCGTTGATGTCTTTGTCAAAAAAAAAATCCACAGGAGTCACTATGGAAGACACACTCATGCAGAGACAGCTTGGGGGTTGACTGTCCTGTGAAGTATGCATTTCTGGAATCCTACAGAAAGTCTCTTTTTTGTCAATTGACACTTGAAGGAAAGGCGTTGATAAAAACAAATAGTGCTAACTTACCATCAAATTTTTGTTCATCTCTCTGTTTTTATTAATACCAATCAATTTTTTTGGCTTTCGAAGGGAGTCAAATACCAAACTTTCCCAACTTATCTTCATCAACACTCTGATTATATATTTTTTAATCACTCTAAGCTGAGATAAATCTTATAATTTCTTTTAAGCCAATTAAACTATTCGAAAAAAGTCAATATATTCATTTTTGAAGATACCCGTTTCAATCCTTTTCTTTTTTTTTCTTTTTTTTTTGTCTTCTAGCAAAGAACTCTCTACACATTTGCAGTTGTAACTATCCTTTTTCAATTCCAAACTTTTTGAACTATGCACCAAAGTTGCCATGGTCAGTGGGAAGCTGAGTAATATTACTCAAGATCTTCCGACTATCTTTCTTCACAACCACTTTCGTGACCATTTTAGAAAGATTGTCAGTACATTTCGTCTCTACTGTGGTTTTGTAGTTAGTAGTATGATGTTGGTTGTGATTGTTTGTCACTATGTTGGCTATTTGTTTTTCAGAATATTTAGCTCATTGTTTGGTTTTTCTAGTAGAGTGTAGCTCTAAAATTTTCTTCTTCAACTTCATGAAGCGACGTATGGAATACCTTTCTATCAGGTAAATAGCCTGTTAAGAAGGGCTTACTTTCAGGATTAAGTGCAATCATACTCTTTCTTCCACCACCTTTCACTTCCTCTTTACAGTTTATTGGAAGTAAAAGTTGTGAGGCAACTTGACGTCATGTTTTATTTCAATAAATGACATCTCTTTTCTATCTTAAAGTTTGTTTCATTTGTAACAATGGGAAATATATGGAAAAAGACACGATCTTTGTTGTAAGTATTTAAGTGAGAATGCTTCAAACTCAATAGATAAATTGGATTGTATTATTTTACTTTGGAAACCAACTCTAAGTTATTTTTATATTTCTGTTCTTTAAGTTCGTGAAAACACTCTTGGAGTTCTTGTGTTTTTTTTCATAGCTGACAATCTTGTTTCTTTTGATAAGTCAGACTTGAACTCTTCAATAGAGTCGTTTATTGTTTCAATTGTGGATTCCTTGATGAATGATAATGGCCATAGGTTTTTGTTGCATTTATCACAATTGCGAGACATCTTGGTTACTGGGTCATATCTTAAGCTCATTCAATTAGATTTGATATTGCTAACTGCTCTGAGATACACACGAAAAAAAAAAAGCCATCCTTTTATGAAGTATTATCCTTTGTTAAACGGAACTGTTGCCAACAATGGTTCTCTATCCAGCAAGTTGGATAGTCTTTTTAATGAGTTCAAATCCAAACCTGCATAAACAGTCTTTTTGGGAAATCACAGGTGTTTCAATATGTCTTTGTATAATATGTTATAGGAACCTAAAATACCAAAAGGCAGATAGATATATGTTCTACTATTAAAGAAAAAAAATAAGTTAATGAATTATATTTAAATTTAGTAAAAAGCGAATTTTTATTTAATCACTAAAGTGAATGGACTTATAAGTCAATTAGGTTTAAGAGTGTATGAATAGAAAAGAAAAAGGGGTGAAATATATATATAAAAAACAATAACCAAATATATGAGCAAGTTGTTAATAAATTTGAGGGGAAATTTTTATTTTAAATGAAATTTTGAGGATAGATAATGTGTTTTTTTTTGAGGCAGTTGAAAATTTGAATACAGGATGGTTATTAAACATTTATTTTAAAGTTATTAACCAAATTGTTTTATTCAAGAATATTTATTTTAGATTTAATTGTTATAAAATGGATATTTGAATATTACGTTGTAATTAAAAAGAAAAAAAAAAGAAAAAAAAGAAGGCATTTTGGCTGTCCATGTCCAGAATTCTTTCATCAACACTTGAAATAATATAAAAAAATAATTCAATACAACAATTTATTTTGTTTCAAAAATATATATATATAAAGTGGGCATTTATGATGTAGAAAAAAATTTTTTTTCTTAATTCCATATTAAGATTTACATTTTGAAGAAAAATTTAACCAAGTAAAGAAAAAAATAAAAGTTTGAGTGGGGTAAAATTTGTAAGCAATTCAAAACTGGGCCATTTGATTAAATATTATTCAAAATTCATCATTTTTTTTTAATAAGCTTTATTATGTTAAAGTTTTTTTTTTCCCATAATGTTTAAAAAAAAAAAGTCTGATCTGAAAGAATGAAAATCTGGGGTATCAAAAGATTTTAATAAAAATCTAGAACAAAATTTTTATTTTTTTTATTTTTTTTTTTTGGTTCTCTTGAAAATCAGTTTTTGATTAGTGGCCAAGAAAAAAAAAATTAATTAAAAAAGAAATTGTGATTGGGTATGTTAAACTTTTTGACAGATTATTATTTTTTTTATTTTTGAAAGAAAACGATGATGATGACCGTTTAAACTAATGTGCAAGGCTTTTTTTTTTTTTTTAAAAAAATGTTTGTTTTGTTTGTTTAGTAGGAAAATGATACGAAAAAGAAGGTTCTAAGCTAAGGTACTTGGACAGACGTCACTTACCTATTAACCTAGTATTGGATTAGTATCTATCTATATATTATTTTGTCACGTAACCGTACTTACCATAAATGACATACCTTCTTTTTTTTTTGTTTAATATCCATAAAATAGTGAAATAGAATATAAAGCCAAGA